ACATCGAACTTAATTATAGAAGCATACACTAGGTCAGGGGTGTGGGTGTCGGTGCGGCAGGTACGGCCAAAGCCGAACCAACAATTTCATCTTGGGATTTTAAACCAATAGATTATGAACTCTTTGGGCCCAAATTCCCTGAACGTTTCCCGCGGGAGGACCCCTGGACCCTCCACCCATTCATGGCCGCACCGATGTCAAATACCTTCCGACGCCCCTGTAGGTGCACAGGTACATTCAAGTAAAATTGCAAACGCACACGCGCCCGCCCGCACACCCGCCATGCCAGGCATAACTAGCTGCTTGTCGAAATGTATGGCGTGAGTGCATTTCTGTTAAAAAGAACTTCGGTTATACAGAACTAATACTCCTGCACAAATATTAATGGTGTTCGTTATACAGTGGTCCCTCTATAATCCGGCACCATTTGTGCCACGAAAATCTGCTGGATTAGGGAGGGTGCTGGATTAACAAATCTGATATACTGCTGCAATGTGCATGAAGAGGACATTTTGGCTACTGAAAATTTTGTTGGTTTATCGAGGGTGCTGGATTATAAAGTGCCAGATTAGAGAGGGACGACTGTATCAGGAATCGACTGTGCTATGTGTGGAAGTACAGAGCTGGCAACTGAAATCTGACCCCTGAGTGATGCGCTCACACCGCAAAGGCCCAACACAGGATTGTAACACTAGGAAACAGAGACTGCTAGAATGTGAACGCACCGCTCAGGGGTCGGATTTCAGTTGCCAGCGCTGTATGAAAACTCACCACAAAGTTCAATTCCAACCCGCTGGATATGTAGTCGAGGAACGTTGGATTCCGGTGGATCTGAGTTACCACATAGGACACGGCCAATTGGCAAAGGACAACAAGTGAGTGAACATGTGTGCATGCCCCGGCAAATACCCATGACACACGTCATTATGCACTCGCACGTGCACACACGCACACACGCACACACACACACACACACACACACACACACACACACACACACACACACACACACACACACACACACACACACACATGAACATACATAGCTCAAGACAATCAACCGCAAAACTAATCAAGAAGCGAAAGTTGGTAAAGTTCCCCCCCCCCCCCCCCCCCCATGTCAAGAGCTTCTTTGGGTATGAACACCTGATGCCGATGAGGCAAGTATTTTCCCACGGAACAATTTCTGATTTCCAATTTGCAGCAGGATCAAGCATGTCCGGTCCTTTTTCTATCTGGCACCCTCACCCGTCAGTTATAATCAGTCAGGGTCGGTCAACATCGAGTACTTCCGGAGCAACGTAACACGTTTCCATTCACTATTTCCAGCCACCACCTGCACGGATATTTACATGATAACGAAGTGTGCGCTTGAGCAAGTTGTTGCGATATGGACAGAGTGCACATACCTCTAATGCCTGAAGGTGGAGAACACCAGAGTTGCGATAACTCTTCTTCTTCTTCTTGGCTTTAGCTTCATTGACCAACTCAAGCTGAACGAGAATTCAGTGAAACACATGTAAGCAGACAAACAGACAGATACACACACACACACACACAAACACACATGCACAGACGCATACACACACACACACACACACACACACACACACACACACACATGTACGCACCCCGGCACTTGTCAGCATCAAGTCTTGCCCCTGCTCGCTGGTGGGCAGTTTAGCTATTTGTGGAATAATCTACCGTTGTGTAGGATGGATTTTCTAGCTGGGTCCTTGTCATTCACATAGGCCGGAAATCAAGGTATTGCTTCTTGTAAGATGCACGGACAAACAGATGTATTGAGAGACATAGTCATCTATAGATATACGGGCGAAAGATCAACGAACTGCTCGTCTACATACACATACTACATGTGCGATTGTTCGCCGGGGGAGGGGTACAAGGATAAGCAATAACATTTTTAAAAGGCGACGTGGAGACAATAATCTTAATAATGCAATGAATATAACTAAATGCGCACTCATATCACAACCATGGGGACGAATAATGTATCCCAGAACGTTTTCTTGTCACAATTATCAATGGAATTCGTGACTAAAGAGAATGATGTAACTACAATAGGATTTATACACTTGGAGTGAAACAGCGAGGATACAAGCATAGTAAGAAAAATAGCACAAACCTAGGAACAATTTGCACAGGCAATAAACTATAGGTGAGGTGAGAAATTTCCTATCAATTTCCTATCATTTCTCACCTCACCTATAGTTTATTACCTGTGCAAATTGTTCCTAGGTTTGTGCTATTTTTCTTACTATGCTTGTATCCTCGCTGTTTCACTCCAAGTGTATAAATCCTATTGTAGTTTCATCATTCTCTTTAGTCACGAATTCCATTGATAATTGTGACAAGAAAACGTTCTGGAATACATCATTCGTCCCCATGGTTGTGATATGAGTGCGCATTTAGTTATATTCATTGCAATAACATTCTGTTTTGAATTATCAGTGTAGGTTGGTCCATAATGTTTTCGGACCAGTGCAGGGCTGCCACTTGCTCTGATTTTTTGGAAATCGTCCGATTTTTGACCGCCTGTCGGACAAACCGACCGATTTTGTTCCCAAAGAGGGACAACCGATTATTTTATTTTTGAGCGCTTTTAGTCCAGTTGGCCATTCGGCGCTTCCAGGTCACGTTTGGCCGGTCATTGTACATATACATGTACATGTAGCTGTAAAATGCACGCGTGCTTGCATGTGTGTGGACAGTTAAAAATGTGTTCTGGGGCCCCAACAGCAAGCCATTTTCCTAAAAGATTTCACCGCGGGACACCCCCGAACCCCCCTCAGGTTTTTCTCCGTCCAAGTGTGGCAGCCCTGCCAGTGGTTGCTATTCTGTAATTTGACCCTACAGTATCAAGAGTACATGAAAACCAGAGTGTGCAGCTCAGATGGGTTGCTGTCACTGCGGAATTCGGTGATTACATCATTTCAATGATGTGGTGCGTGCAAGCAGGTCTCTTTCTGCACAACTGCAGCTCAGTTGTACCCACTACGCCATTTCCCTCCTCAAGTCTGCACCTAATACGATGTAATCACGGAATTCCGCCGTGACAAGACACCCATAGTAGAAAATGCCCCAAGCTGCACACTCTGCTTTTCATGTACTCTTGATGGTATGGATGTGTAACCATGGCGACTGCAGTACAATTCACTCACATCGAGGGGTAGCCGTGCTTGCCGTAGCTGATCCACCGTGACGTCACATGACCCAATGAAGTCAGCCGTGCCACTTTTGTTCCAGTCCTGGCAATTGATCTTAATTCAAAATTCGCCATGGCAACAAACCATGTGTCATACTGCAAAATCCATATAGATAACGAAGTCCTACTTCTAACGAGTTAACAAGGAGAAATCTGTCGTTACCATAAAAAATCGTAATACAGAAATCGATACATATACAGTCCTATTGAGCGTTGAGAATGAGTGAGAATCGTTACCTTTGGTGCACGTAAACCAGTCAATTTTAGAAAATCGTTATATATGCGCCTCGTTAGAATCATGGCTTCCACAGTAGTTACAAGGCCAACGGTACAAGACACAAGCTTTAAACATACTCTCCACGGAGGCTTGAATGCGGACAAACCTCACCCTCAGATAGAATACACACACATAGAGAAAGTGACTTGCCAACATGCAAACACCCTTCCCCCCCCCCCCCCCCTCACACATACACACACATGTACACACAACCACACACACGTGCACACACGCACACATACACACACACACACACATACACACACACACACACACACATGTGCACACACACACACGTACGCATACACACACGTACACACACAAACACACACACATGCACACACACACACACACACACACACACACACACATCTTCAAGTTCACGTACTCGTATCGAGCGCTGGTAGTCTGAGTTGCAAAGCTGGCGACTTCCAACAGACGTGGGTTTCCAGGATGGATTCAATGTAGACTTGATCACCTGAAATCCACAATACCACACATAGAGTAGAGCAGAGACAAGACACAAAGATCCAGGGATAACTGAGCGATCTCGCTGTCTCCACTGGATTTCCGCGCCGTAGCGATTATCCGGGCGTGTGTGTGGTGTAATTATTTGTTCCCTATGCACAACATGCACCTAACCACATCCAGCACACCCTCAACAGTACATTCTCGACTATGCAATAAGACTTGGGACTTGGCTTCTGGACAAGTCTTCTTCCTACCCGTGGCAGGTGATTGGTGTAAAGAACACTACGGAGATAGAGAGGTTCACCCATTGACCAGATCTAACTGCTCTGACCTACCTCTGTGCGATGAGCGACGGAGAATGAACCATCGGGATTGGAACGAGAGAACTCCAGGAACGGATCCGACTTGCCGAAGAAGTCCTGGAGTAGGGGTTGATTGCATACGGAGCAGAACTGGATTAGGTCCTGATATACTTTTTAAGCCCAAGTCAATTGGGCTAATTATGCTTGGTCAATTTTGTTATTCCATCTATTAAATTGTTATAAGTCATCTTTCCATCAATGCAGGTCTTGTAAGTGTATCTACGGACACAGCCAATCAAAGGCCTCAGATAACGTGAAGTATTTCCTGGTACACTGCGTTAGGCTCTGCCCTTTGCGTGAAACGCAGAGAAATCGTGTAAAGGACAGATGTTTGTGTTAGAATTTACGGCTTCGCATGTTTTGGGCACAGATTTCTACACCGAGATGAGGATCTCTGCGTTGTTGCATACGCGACGAATATGCATATGGCCCGCGATCTGCTAAAACCACCCTTCGGTGCTGTGTAATTTTTCGGAGAAAATGATGAAAACGTCAGCACGTCTCGATTTTCTCATCATCGCAGGTGACGGTCATGGCGGAAGGAGGACGAAGGCGCTCGTTCGCACAAATTGTTGTCGGATTCTCGGCAGCGGAGTCGTCAGCACTGCCAAATGACGATAGATCGTTCTTCGGGTGGTCAGATCAAGATTCTGACGACCAGAGCGATGACGAATCGACCGACGCCTCTCCGCTCGTGACCCTGCCGATCGCGCTTGCGATCGATGCGGAGGAGAATTTGGACGGGGCGCCAGCGCTACAGCCAGCACAAGCCCTCGCCGCCGGAGGACAGGGCCAACCTAAGAAATCCCGTGCCCAGGCGGCGCCCAGTACTGTTGAAGAGGTACAGGCGCGAGTGGACAAGGGCTGCAGTTGTGCCGATGTCAACTGTTTCAAGAACGTGTCACCGGATACTCTACTCACTGCACGCAACACAGCGCTCGCAATGACGAACGAGGAGCTGTACTGTTACGTCGCTGGACAGCTCGATATGTTGAGATAAAGACGACGCGGTGCAGTTACTTCTCACCATGGAAGCATTGCACACCGGATACAGCGCGGAGAAAGGTTCCGAATTTCCGATCCACTTATTGCTATGAAGTGGATGGTGACGAAGTGTGCCAGACTGTTTTCATGTACGCACATAATCATGGTAAAGGAGTGGAAGCTAAAACAAATTAAGGCGGATGTCTATGACTATGAGCATGCTGTCCCTCCCCCTCAGTACGCATGTGAGGGTACTTTGCCCTGGAATGCACTGCCTGCAACTTTGCCTTTGGTGACATCAATGGACTTCCCCAGCCTGCTGCCCCCAGAGGCCTGCTCCAACTATTACTTACCTGCCAGTGCCATGTGCTACTACCAAGAAGCATGTGCATACTGAATATATCAAGGCTGGAGGAACAGCAGCATACACAACATTCCTGAAAATATGGAGCAGCGAGTGCAGTGATGTGATAATAATCAAAATATGTGTGCGGTGTATGTTCCGATCTGCAGTCTCAGATCGTAAGGGCAAGCACGGCAGAAACTCGCTTTTAAGCACACTGACGCACTCAAAGCTCATATTGACGAAGCTAACGTGGCCCGTGACCTTTATCAAAAGTGTATTACTGCCTGGCATCTGATCATCTGCCAGTGACGCTCAAGACGGCTGGAATTTCACCGCAACGTGCAAAGTACTTGCACCAACAGATTCGTCAGCACTGCCACGCAGAGAGCAGAGATATCACCTTCCCAGCACCAGACCAAGCAGACCCAATGTCCTAATTATTTGTTCAGAACATACATAGTAGAATACTGGATAACTGTGCAAAATAGTTTTTTCTCTGTACATAGACAGGTGTATGACAGGTGTATGAAGCCTCAGATACGCCAATTATAGTGTGAATATCAATTATTTTCGGCATTTTTATTCACCAAAAGCTTGCATAAGATGGGTCATATTTCAATGAATATATACAATTTGAGCCTAATACTTCACCATATGGTTGGGCAATGGCCAGGGACCAACTTCCCGCCAAAAACTCATTTTCGGCAAAATAGCACCAAAGGGTGGTTTTAGCAGATCCTTGGCCATATGGATCTGCTATGTATCATTCACATGAGAAAGAAGGTTATAAACAAAGTGCCAAATTTCGAATGGGAAACTCCCAGTACACATTTCACATGATTTCTATACGTGAACTTCGAGCAGAGCCTCTTCTTTTTGCGTGTAGCCCAACAACTCGCGAGTGCTCAAATCTACACATCGTATTGGCGTCATGTAGTGAAGAATCTCCCCGCTGGCATTCTCAGCCATTAGATCAACACCAGATTGGGATCAATTGAATACGGAGTTCAAAGTCCAGCATCCGGGTTTTTTCTCTTTTGAATCGAGGTGTGAGGAATTGAGCAACGGTAACTAAGTAAGACTCAAATGGAGACCAAGTCATATTGTAGAAAGGAAAAAGGACATATGGAAACGAGTTAAGAGTAACTCTCCACCACTGTAACTAGATACTATATACAGTCAGAAAGTGCAATAACTAGGCACAAAACTGACAGAGTACTGAGACATTCGACGTTCTGACAACTTGTTTCAATATGTCCTTTTTCCTTTCTACATTTATTATTGGCTCTACACCCGAGTTTCAATAGATGATATGCCAAATAAGCGCTCGAAAAGTTGAGAGGGCATGCGATTGATGCGCCCAGGCGTAGCTTGTCAAGTGCACGGGATGTGCAAAGTACACGGATTTTAGGCTTGTTGCGCGCTTACGCGATCAGGTGCTGCACGTGCATGAATGGAATGCATGCAGTTCCACCGTTACTAGTTTTAGCACTTCCTTCGGCGTTGAAACTAAAGCTGTAAATCTGGATAGAAAAAAACAGTTTTGCTTGCTTTTAATATAGCGGCTGGAGTGATTTTTCGCTGTCTTGTTTTCGGATACCGACCAACCACGACCATTGCTGTGTTCCAGGATGTACTGGTGACCGGCGTTACTCCCCAGCCCCAGCAAATGGTATTCGTCTTTTCCATCATCCTGAACTGTGAAGGAAATGGACTGTTGCTATTCGACGGGAGGAAAGGGAAGGAGAGCAAAAGAAAGTGACACTACAGCGGTGTGCTCTGACCATTTCTTGCCAGAAGATTATGTAGATCTACAAGGGGAGAAAATCGCCAGAGCAAGACTGGTAAAACATTTTGTATCTGGAGTTGTCAATCAGGTCCGCCAAGACAACAGCGGCTGATGCTAACCGGCGTCGCTCTACCTCGTGTCGTGAGCTACTGCACGGGAGCAGCCTGAAGACATACGACTCATACCTAGTGATATCCCAGGCATACTGTCCCTACGCTGGAGGAAGCATTCGACAGTATTCAATGCAACCTGGGTGACTGCAAGAATAAAGTAGCAAAATTGAGCGAAATGACTAACAGTGGCATGTTTGGAGTTCTGCGGGTATCCCGATTCAAAGACACGGCATCATATCAGTAACCTTGGACAACACAGTCATGCGACGTATCAAGCGGAGTCTCAAGATAACATTTGGCTACCCAGCAGCCACCATTTGTCACCGCCACAAAATATTCCCGTCGCCATCCGTTAAAACTTTGTAGTAATTATTGTTTGCCATGCCATAGCGCCCCAGCCCCCTCTTTGCAGAGTTTCCTTTGTTTTTAGGTCAAAATATTCACCCTACGCTGGCTACGGAAGCCTTGACCAGGCCTGCTGAGGGGATAGTACACCCTCGCTTTAGCTCTACCTAATGCTTCTTCACGACATGGCTTCTCTTTGCAAAACATACAGGTACCTGGTCTCTGATAGCTGTGATAGCTGGAGTTTTCTTCCATCGGGGTGCTGCTAGGCAGCCTCCTTCGTCATGCCGCAGAGGCTGCGTAGAAGGCTGTTATGTTATAACAACCTTCTACGTAACCTCTTTGCAATACGCCATTTCCCACTTACCTCGAGCACCCTGTAAAAAGGCGCATTGTCTGCAGGGATGGCCCTAGTAAAAAGATAAATCATGTGACATATGTGACAACAAAAAAAGAACAGCTCTATTTGTGCTGGCACTGACGAATAGCGGAAGCACATGAGAAACTGGTTGCCTGGAGCAATGACGGAAGAAACGCTGATGTGATCTCACTCGGGTGAGGGATGAGGTAAAACCGCGAAGCAGTCAGGGTCTTGCTTCTCAGCCTATGCCATAGGCCGCTGCCAATCTGCTGTTGGGTATGGCGCTCTATTGCTATTAGTATTACCTCTGTTAGAAGCACCTTCTCTGTGATGTGGGATAGGGAAGGCGGGATTTCCCAGTACAAAGGCAAATCAATGTTGCCAGTGTCAGTATGCCCCGGTGGTTCATAAGGGTTCTCGCAACTACCTTCCTTGGCTCTTGTGCCCCATTGCTGTTGTTGCTAGGTTGCATATGCCAGGTATTGACCTTTCATCTCACAATAGTTGATGGTCAGCAGCAATGCAACAATGTGGTGGAAGGAGCATGCAATGCTGCAGTGCAAGTGCAATATGCAGACATCACTTCGAGTACATGCTTTTCTTTTAGCACTGTAGCACACACTTAGCTCTCCTTCTTTTGAGATGCCCAACACTTAGCCTTGACAAAGTATCTCTGCGGTCCAGAATTCTTTGGCTCTGGGAAGCAACACTCAACACTTTAAACGAATGGCGAGAAGAAGGACTCATCCCCGAATGGTTTCTGTGTCCGACGTTAGGTACCTTTCTCGATTCTGAAGATGCTGGAGTGCAGCACTAGCAGAAACACCACTTAGCAAATCCTCCGAGCGATGGCTCCAGGCCTCGGTGGGAAATTCTGCGTCTGTTTGTTGAGCAGCATCTATGATTTGATGGATTCCGCGGAGAAGCAGCTTCTTCTGTTCCCGATGCAGATGGTGTCAAGGTATTCGCTGCTGTAGCGACCAGTGAAGGAGGAACGGATTTTCATCGCCCTTTCGCTGCTCGGAGCCCGACTGCCATCATTGTCCCCCGTCCTAAGCTCCGGGGCGTTGGGAATAAAATAAAATCTTTCGGTCTTACCTCTGCAACAAATCATCTCGCTTTCCATCTACCGGTATCTCTCCCTCACGTACATGTACGTCTTCAGCTGAGCAAAAGTCCATCTAGCAATCGTTTCGCCGACAGGTGGGTTCGCAAAACGAGAAGCTATGGCTGGTGTACTATTTCTTGCTGCCATATCTGGGTATCAAAATGAAAAATTGAAAGCAAACTATGCACAAAGGTGTCAGAGTTCCTTTTCTTCATCCGAAAATTTTCTCCGACGGAATGCTAAAATGCAGTAACAGTGGAACTGCATGCATTCCATTCATGCACGTGCAGCACCTGATCGCGTAAGCGCGCAACAAGCCTAAAATCCGTGTACTTTGCACATCCCGTGCACTTGACAAGCTAAGCCTGGGCGCATCAATCGCATGCCCTCTCAACTTTTCGAGCGCTTATTTGGCATATCATCTATTCATATTGATAATACAATTACAAAAGCAAATAATTTGAAGAGGCATATCCTCCACAGCACACTAACTCTCCTCCTCCATGCGCTCTAAAGCCGACCATTGCTCCCCTTAGTTTGTTGGATTACTCAACAGCCGAATGGTACCGTTCACAGTTGTAAGGATAGGTATACCCTCTCATTGTTTAAAAGTGCGTTTGGTCGACTGCAGCCAGGCCCTTGAGGAGAGTAACTCCTCACGGGGGAATACCTCGCACAATGTATTGTGGTGGCTAAGGGCCGGAGTACATCTGTAGTGTGGTGATTATGTACCACTGGCAACTGCATAGCTGCAATTGTGTCCATTTTGATCACAGTATTTCCCCGAATATAAGTCGCACATTTTTACACTGAACTTCAAGGCCGAAGAAGGGGGTGCGACTTACAATCGAGTGTGACTTTCTGTTAATTTGAGGGTATCAAAACAATATGGCTCAAAGCTGAAAGTGGAAGTGCGATAATCGAGTGCGCCTTGTGACCGGGGAAATACGGTACGCAGTACGTATGGTGGCCATTTTCTGGTGTGATGATTGGACAACGTTGACTACAGACGAGCTACAGACCTGCATTAGAATGTGAATACAAGTCGCAACTTGTTGTCTCCGGATTGGGTGCACTTGTGCATTCCACTAACCATCTTGTCTAGTCGTGTTGCCGTCCATGTCATGTCCATCGCATCATCAACACTGTTCATTTCTTCTGCAGTAATCTGCCAGTTGGTGGCGCAAGCATACGAGAGAATATTCCAACACACACAGAACCGCACGCACACACACACACATGTACACACATACACACACATACACACACACACACACACACACACACACACACACACACACACACACACACATACATACACACAATCACTCTGTGAAACACATAAGTAGATGCTAACCAAAATATGACCGGTTGTCTGGGAAAATAGACCTTCGGGAATTCCCGTGTTTTGCGAGAGAGAAAAAAAACAAGAAAGGAATCAAGAAGAAAAGACATAATCATTATATTGTTGGCGGAAGGAGGTTGCAGACGTTCACACTCGAGTGTTGGGCTAGAAGTAAGACAAGTAATGATTGAGTTTGAACAAAATGACACCACTGCATTGAGGTTTGGACTAATGATCGCCTCACAGGCCGCGAAGACGACACAGGAACTGTGAAGAAGATGCGGGATGTTATTCGTCAGGGTGCGCACAGTGCGCTGTCGATCTCCATTGTGGAAGGAGGGATACTCTACTAAGCTCCCTGCAGCAACTTTCTGAGGCTCCCTGAAAGCAGCTGGGCCGATGAAGGAGTTTTCTGCTTACCTGAAGCAATCATGTTGATGACCGAGGGCGGGGAACGAGGGAGGAGGGCAACTTGCAGTGCAAGTGCTACGAGAACACTTCCTCGTTAACATCTCGCCTCAACTCTACACGCACGAGCAATCAAAGTGACCCCCGCTGTTTGTTTAAATCGGAGTGGACATAATTTAATAACATGGCGTAGGACGTCGACAAATCATCCCAATTGATAGCTCTGGAACCGAGGCGAGTCTCTCCGACTCAATCAGTTGCATGTTGCCAGTGAATGAGCGACACAGTCCAGATCGGCAACAGTTCATCTTCGTGAGCCTGGTGGCGCGAAAGTCGGTGTATTTCGGCGCGATCATGGCATGGTGCATGTGCTGTGTGTAGTATAGTGCAGAGCCAATTGCTTGTAAACTCGGAAGAGGCGCACCTCATCGCCTTTATGACTGTTCAGCCACTGCTCCGAAGTAACTCAGAATTTCACCGGTTCATGTAGGCATCCATTCCCATACATACCCCCCACCCCCCCCCCCCCCCCCACCCACCCCCCCCCCCCCCCCCCCCTCTTATTCTCACATGCCCACAATAGAACTCACATTTGCAGTCACAGACAGAAGTAAACAGCCTGTATTCATGAACACACATGCATGTGCAGGAGTGTCACACATGGTACGACCACTACGACCATGGTCATACCACCTTTCGTCCAGGATGGTCCGCCCAATTCATCCAAAAAAGCAATAACACCAGAAACGGCATTGGCACCACAGCAACAAACCTTGATTGTGCCACACCCAGATTTTTTCCCATCACAGGTCAAGTTGAGCTCGAGAGGGCTTTTGGTCACAATCTGCAAACACAAACGCATGCACGTGCACATAAGTACACATAATCACACACATCCCCATACAACGATGAAGGACTCTGAGAAATTTTCAGACAAACAAATCTTCTCTGCGAACCGCGCACAAACCTTGTACTGAGCACTTCACCACTACGCAATCGTCTTTGCATGTCTCATACGTCATATCCCAACCAAATGGATGTTGAAAGGTCCTTGTCACGCCCAGCCACCTTTTCTCTTCCCTAACTAATCTCGCTATTTCTGATTGCAGCACAAGCGCGTACAGGGAGTCGTTTTTATGATTTTTTTCTTGGATGGATCGGACACTTTGTCCGTCGCATGATTATTTCGTCCGGACAACAACCGATAATGGCCGGAAAATGTCAGATGCCCGGCCGTTATTTCGTGGACTGCACCGCAGGAATTCAGTGTCTTCGCTAGGATTTCAAACCAACCGGGTACAAGTGTACCTGGCACTACCATTGCAACCAGGTCAGAGCCAGGTCTGTTCAAGTGCGGCTACTGAATGTACGTCAGCCTATGATCAGGGAGTTGTATAAATATTTTACGGCTCCCTGATGTATATTGCATTCCCAACCGGGTCACATGTGACCCAGTGTTCTTTATCCTAACTGTCCAAGTACCCCCTCCCCCCCCCCCCCCCAACCGGGTCACTGACCCGGCTGAACCACCTCTGGACCAGACACTGATCGAATCTTCAGACATGGCACGTGCTTGTTGCCAGGAGACGGCCAATGAGCGGCCAGAATAAGCAGTCAAGATCAGTCGATCTTGACCGCTTAGCCGGTCAAGAACAGCAGTCGTACAGCATCGCGCCGCACATGCGCATTTACCATCTTTCGAAGTCCTTGCCTTGGGCAACATCTCCGACGAGGACTAAAAATTTGTCTCCCTTCTCCAAAATTATTATATACTCACTACTGTCTTGAACGTCTGCAGGGAGACCAGAAACGCCAACCGACCTTGCAGCCGGTCCTGTTTCTCGCGGCGAAACGTACACAAGGGAAGCAGACCTCCACAAGTACATTTTGTACCTGCCCTAAGGCTGCAGCTTCTCAGCACTCGCATTTGAACCTTACTCTGGCAATCATCTAACTCGAAGAACGGGTTTATTCCGAATCCGTCATATTACTGGTACTAACGTTACTACTGCCTTCACTGTACTTGAATACTTTCATCTCAAAACTGGAAAGTCCCGACCAAACAAATAGCTGTTTGTGATGGTCACTGCACACAATGTGACATCAACTCATTTGCCGTGAAGGCTTTCTTTCTGTTTGAATCTCTCTACTGTACTGGGCCTTGTTGTTTGTGAGGTGGGCCTTGTCTGAAGCGCAATCCTACACAGTTGCGTCGGGCATGCCGCTCTGATCAGGCCCTCGGTCATGTGAGTGATCTTGCCCTCGGTCGCGACGCCCTCGGGGCTACGCCCCTTGGGCGTCGCGACCTTGGGCAAGATCACTCACAGACCTCGGGCCTGATCAGAGCATCATGCCCTCGCAACTGTGTAGGATTATGTATATCGGTCCCATCACCATACCTGGCTGAGTTTTGTTGTGACGGTACCCAGGAGTTCTCCTCCGCCACGGCGTACATCCTGTTTCTCGTCATCAACATCGTAGACCATAAACCGCACGTGCTGCACCGCCTCGAAGAAGTAGTCAGTCGTCACGGACCGTGAGAATGTTGGGTTAAGGTTGTCTTTGATCCACTCGGTACGGCCAATCTGCAGCAACGTGAGGAGAACAGTTACCATTAGAGACAGGGGCAACAAATGGTGTGAGGACAAAATTAAACAAAACTTTAGAGAATTGTCACACTTTCATATAAGTATCGGATAAGAAGTACAACTGATTGCTCGTTTGGGAGAGAGAGAGAGAGAGAGAGAGAGAGAGAGAGAGAGAGAGAGAGAGAGAGAGAGAGAGAGAGAGAGAGAGAGAGAGAGAGAGACAGAGAGAGAGAGAGAGAGAGAGAGAGAGAGAGAGACAGAGAGAGAGACAGACAGAGAGACAGAGACAGACAGAGACAGACAGGGAGACAGAGAAATTCGCTGCCGCTTATCAAGCTCTGAACAGGCTGGATAGGTTGTTGCTAGACCATGTAGATCAGAGAGTGACTAGCGAGACGATAGCAGACCATACAGTATGCATACTCGTATCTCTCTCTCATCCCAACCTACCCAGCCCAGACCGCCCTGATAACAAAGTTATGATCGTACATTACAGTGCCGATTATACGCACCCGGTACCTTCATGCGGGGGCTGTCCCCAAGGGGTTTGGATGAGGGGTGTTTTCGGATAAGGGAACAGACACACATTATACCATACATATTCTCTCGCGCTTTCATCAATATTAAATTCAATAAAGATGAAAGAAAAATTCCCATTCTTGCTCCACATTATGCTGGCACACACAGACAGAGACAGCAATAACAAACAAGTTAAAGGGTAGTTGACCGCAGCCAGATGTGACTGATCGTTCAGATAGTTGACGTTCGGATAGTCTGAATTCTACTGTACGAGAAACCCAATGTGCATCTTGAGCCCAGATTCTGAAGCTGTATGAGATCTGTAAACATGCAGCCTCGTTTGAAGCTGTGACTCACTGACCTTCGGCAAGCATTGTACGGATGAGATTCAGCATACGCGCTCTTTCCTGCACTCTAATAACGGCGGGGGGGGGGGGGGAGCAATTGCATAGGGAGTTAAATTCACATCGCTTTCCACCCCCCCCCCCTGCCTTTGTTGTCTCTCAACCTGTCACAATTCCCTGGAGTGCTACACCTGGGCGGCTGAACTGGTCCCGCTGGTCAGACAATGGCCGGACCCACTGCTATCCCACCTATGCATGTTTACCGTTGAGGAGGTCATGATTGCCACGTACCTGCTATGCCCTACACTAAGTAAGAAGGGAGGGGTATACAGGGGCGTCGCAAACGGTACAGTCACTACGGTATTGACCGTACCACTATTTGCCCCAAGTACCCCGTGAATCAATAAAACGCACTGATTTGGGCTCTAAATTTCCAAGATTTTAGGCTCAGCCATCCCTCCCCCACGAGTAAATTGTACTTCAGATGGCTGACCCTACCACACTAAAATACCTTCCGACGCCCCTGGTATGGCATGGCTGGTCCAGTCCAAAACTACTTCCGCCGACTTGCAACATTAGTGCATAGAACAAGCTCTCTGAATCTGGCCTCACGCACAGTGTGTTGGTACAGCAACACTGTTCTTACCCTGCAGTAAAACCTGTCAAGGCGACCGCTCGGATAAGGCGACCACCTGTCCCAGAACACCACTGCTACCAGGACCAAGGGATGCTATGCGCAGTCAAACAACCCTGGATAAGGAGACCACCTGGATAAGGAGACCACATTTCGAAGGTCCCTTGAGCGGTCGTCTTAGACCGGTTTCACTGTATTTGTTCAGGTGCCATCTATCTGTCACCATTTACGATGATTCATTGATGTGGGGGGGGGGGGGGCAGGGCAGTGTTTTTATTCGCTCACAGCCTACAAGACACAGCAGTAGGGCCAAAACCGCCATTCATTCCACTTAGCCGTGACACGGGTGTCATATATATTATCTTTATTTTTATTTTATATTTTTATTTATTACAACATCTCAAGACTCGGTGGAAACACCGGCCAATGTGAAGAGAGTGGGTCATAATTAATTTTAATGACTTCGCTAATGACTTCGCTATGTAGTCAGGCCCGTAGCAACGCCGTTGGAACTTGGAGGTGATCAGGGAGGAGGGGAGGGGGGCGGGGTGTCTCCCGGGAAAATTTTGAAACTAGGGTACAAAATCCAGCATTCTGGGCACTTTTTCGTGGTCGGGTGAAACTAGCTGGACCGGCTGCTATGCCCCTGCCCTTGTGGGTATGTGTGTACGACTTGGAGGAAGGGCCTCTGAAGGTCCATGTTTTGTAAGATTTCCATAAAACAAGTGGCGACTCCGCTTTCTTGCACACCCTACATGCTATGATAGGCATTGTTGCGATGTACGGTCCTGCTCAATGAAATCCAGTCGATGCACTCGGGTACACGACGGGCGTTGCGCAGCCCTACACCTGCGAACACAGGGCTTCGAAATGGTGCAAGGCGCAAGCTACTGTACTTGAGCGCCGCGAGGCCCGCGACTGGATTTCATTGCCCAGGACTGTAGATGTACGATGTACGTCATTGACACGACGGCGTGGCTCACCTCTCGGAACAAATCCTCACTAACGTCAATGGATCCCTGCAGCAGGTCCACCACGCAAATGGGGTCCGACTTGGACAGGATGTCTTTGTCGATGAGGTTTTTGCACGAGATGAACATCTGAATGGGCGATTTGAACTGCTCTGGTCCGGCGTCAGCAGCGTCGTAGGGTGCGCTAGGCTGCGCTGGGGCGCTGCTCGCATAACCTGGGCCGCTGGTCGGATAGGGAACGGCGGAAGCTGCCGCAGCAGCAGCACCTGGAGGCGCTGTGGGATATGGGGGAGCGGACATTGTCCAGGGCCGAAACTCACACCAGTCAGAGTCAAACCCTACAGATTACTACATTACTACACTGCAGAACAGCTAAGTGCTCAACCAGAATTATTTGGCAGACAGGAACTCTGCATCGATCGGTATCAACAGTAACTATCAACTACAGTGGTCCCTCTATAATCCGGCGCCATTTGTGCCACGGAAATCTGCTGGATTAGGGAGGGTGCTGGATTATAAAGTGCCGGATTAGAGAGGGACGACTGTATCATGTCAGGCCAGGGATTCGTCCTCAAAGAGCTTTCACCATGTTCACAAGACTTCCAAGCTCATGTCACGTGACTTCAACACTGGGCCATGGGCATGGGCATGCATGGGACTTGGAAGCTCTTCTATTCACACAACTAACTAATTACTTACTTCATAGGCAAGCAACTCGAGGTAGACGATCTACTCGATCGATCGTGCTCGTAGTCAAGGCCAGGAGGTCTAGTCGTCGTAGGGGTTACCCCGACTCCGCGAGTCCTTGGTAGATCTACAATCTTCGTTCGCTCACACTTCGTAGATCTGTCAGTACACCATCACTGGCATCAGGGTCTCGACGACAATAGTAGTGCTCGTTGGCCGTGAAGACGCCGATTACAATACAAGTGGCAGGCGCATGATAATCATACCTTGACCTTTCGTCCAACATTGACCGTCACTTACTTCAGAAGCAGAATGATGGCCTACGACTACATTGTACTGTATTGACTACATGTACTAATAGTAGTTGAGGGGATGGAAAAAGGAAAACAGGACCTTACAACCTGAATCACCCACTACACTACGCAACAGTACTCAGCAGACCGTAACAGTATACTGTAGTGTGTTCTTACTCTTAGTAGTGTGTGACTCAAAACAGAGGCCCGGAGGGAGAAGAGAAGAAAAGATGCGCTGTTACATGTATGCCTTGCGTCACGCAGCTCACCACGACACCAGATCAAGGTGTGGCTACTCTTCACTCAGAGTCAGAGACGAGTAGACCCGATGTACATGTAGGCCGAGTCTGCTCGAATAACAGTAGCAGAACCATAGATTAGAAACCATAATGGCAGGCATTTCCCTGCTCCATTTCATCATGATCCACATACCAAACATGCATGAAAGTTGAATTGAAACGTTCTAGAAAACGTACCAAATAATTCACTCTGCGAATATCTCTGCCGGTATTTCCGCCAAGGGCTATGTCAGGTCACGCGAGATAAAGATTATCTTCACATGAGTCAAGGACCCGCTGATTTCGTGCCGACTTGTCGCGCAATCTCCCACGTAGAGAGCAACGCACACTTTCTCTAGTAATAGTAGTATCGCCGAAGCGCTACAGTGCCACTACATGTACTTCCCACTACACTTCGACTACGAGCGCTCCACTTACAGTGTATTGCCGAATTTGGGTTGTCTTTTTGATTCGGTCCTTACTTTATGGTTGAACACAATCGGCTTGTGAATAAACCCGTTCTCAAACTATTTCCCACTATTATTGTCTCCTTGGAATGGTGGATACAACTTACAATGAGTATAGTGCGAAATTTAGCTATCACAAGAAGCCTCATCCAGAAAAATATATAAATTCCTTCTCCAGAAGTGCAATCATGCAATGGCACCAGCAGACTCCTCCTTCCGAATCGAGCATGCACTCTTCAACATCCGACTCGCTACTGACTCGTATCGAGGTGCTATTTTCTAAGAACAAACTAAAGCCCATTGCACACAATGCATGTCGCAGGATTAAAATTCCGTTTTAAAAAGAGGTTACAAAAAGGAAGTCGTGATCTTGAAAATTTAATAGTCCAAGTATAATGACGAAGTATAATGACCTGGAGATGGGAGGGGTGTCAAGTGTGAACGCATAATATGGGGAGGGCAGTGAACGTCTCATTCTTGTTCCCAGCTCGGATACAATGCGGCCCTTCTTCAATCTTGGAACATAAAAACATCACGCAAGCAGTGGAAGTCCAACCTACACGGAACCGTGGAGCGGCCAAGCTCAGCGTTCTAGTGCTCACTGAGCTGGGCGCGGCAGCACAGCATTTGACCAAGAGCAAGGCCAAGCTTATGTAGCATGCAATGATGTCATCCAAATTCCAATGATGTCATGGAATATAGCATACTAGTGAACATACATCATAAGGACCATGGTCTGTTTATCAGAAAAAAGAGCGGGACATTTCCAAGGCAACCGGACAACAAACACAAGCAGAGCTCCTGCTTTATTATTATTTGAAGTTAAATGTTGGCGCAACGTATAGCGTATATGGCAGGTTACATTTGAAAGTGAGTGAACGGTCCATCAATAAAGGCAGTCGGATGAGCTTTGGAAGCTTGGTAGCTTGGTAACATTTGTAAAACTATAGCATGGGTATTGGTTTTGCTTCTCACCGGTTTGGGCTTTGCCCTATAGTTAATGAGGACTCAAGTCAACACTATGATTATTTGTTATGTCACACAGACGCCATGCCGATTCGGACACTGCTAGCGGATAAAGAACACAGTCGAACGCAGCAGAGCACTCCCACTGGCATACATGAAGTAGCAATAGCTGGCTGAGTAGTAGATCTGCTACTAAAGAAACCGTCGAAAAACGCAGAGCAAGTCATGCGTGCATAGGAACTACTCTGCTGGGTACGTGGCCTCTTGGCTGCACATACATGACCAATGCAGGGTGTCGCATACTTCTGGTTGCAATGAGTCACACAGAAGCTTTAGGATGCGAGTATCGGCCACGATATTGTTCCGCTGTGCTTTATATGCTGGCACTGCGGCTGGATAATAATCACTTGCTAGCGGGATACAGCGCATTGCAAACATTTCTCTCTCTCTCTCTCTCTCTCACTCTCTGTCACACACACACACACACACACACACACACACACACACACACACACACGAAACAATCACCATGTGTCCTCAATGATCCACGTTGACAGTTTCTTCTTCTTGTGAAAGTAGTAGGTACGACCGTCCTGATTGTGAGCTGCCTTCCAGCCAGATCCAGGATCCTGACAACACACAACCCCGCAAGGCAACAGTAAGTGGAAATGTACACACACACACACACACACACACAAACAACTAGGCCGAAAAAAGCCGAAAATAAATATGCGCCGAATATCTGTTGACTTTCAGTTCAGGGAAACGCCACAATGTGGAGTATCCCCAGAGTACATGGCAACAATGACCACCCACGACAGAATTATGAATTGAAGAAGATGGCCAGCAGTACCCATGGCAGAAACAATGGAAAAAGGGGAAAGAGGTATCATATTTTTCCGGTCGTAAGTCGACCTTTTACGACTTAACCCTTCACCGGCAGCCCCATACTTGAATGCGTCGTAAACGACGCATTCGACATGCATACTAAAACCATGCCTGGTATGACAGGAAGCATCAGCCCACGGGGATTTCCCGTGGCCCTCATACAGCCCAGGTATGATCCTATCCGTAGCTGAAGAGATCTACGCGTGTCCCATTTGATTTCATTGAGAACTTCGCGATCGAAAATTTACGGAAATACACGCGCGCCGACAATGCCGTCTGCCTCCAACAAAACGTCGTCAGGTGCATTTTCTCTTGCGCAGTGAGTTCCTTTCGTCCTCAGGTGACTTCTCCAACGAGGACCTAGCAGACCTTCGCTCTGGGACCCACGACAGATAGATAAATACCTCGTTCCAGCGGCCGATGCAAGCAAATTTAAAATTGCGGAGCGGAGCGCACGCCAAGTAAATTCTCACGCAAATATCGGGAGCTCCAGTCGCTGAAGACGATGTCGTCGTGATGTAACTGGAAGAATGTGATGGTGCTTATGGTGTGGAAGCCATGGAGAGTGATCCCCGTGTCGACAGTCTTCCAGAGACGGAATTTTAGGCCATCGACTTTCTACGTACCTGAGTGACGGCAGCGCTGCGCGACTTGCGCACGACCTTACGGAGCCATCGGACAGCGATTTTGGTGCGATGCTGCACTCAATTGCGAGCGAGGCACGGCCACTGAAGTCTGTGATGGCTATGGCGTTCGTTTCCGCTCTGAAGTCGACTTGCTTTGGCAGTTTCATGTCAATGTCGGAATCTGACGATTTGCATTGTGTACAATTTCCGTGTTTAGACGTATAGGTGCCAATTTAGTAGCGTATGTGAGTGGTATGTGAAAATAATTTTTTCCATCGTCAAGAAGTAGTGCCAGACTTCCAAGAAAACATAACTTGCACATACAAAATGCGCCCTCGTTGTGAGTTATTGGCATCCTTCTCAATGTTATGGATTTCGTATACAAAATGCACTTGCCGGTAAAGGGTTAAAATAGAAGGAGAAAGGGTGGGGGTCGACTTACAACCGGGATTCGACTTATAACCGGGAACTATCAGTATCTTACAAAAAAATGACCTGCACTGTGTGCACGAGTGCACCATGTGTACACATTTTTCGCGAGTTTATTGGCCTTTTTCAAGGATTGGGACGTTATACCCTCCACTAAGGAATGTTTACATGATTTGTTGTTGTGTTAGTAGAAGGGAGTGGTAAGTAGTGCTTTTTTGGGTGAAAACTTTAAAACGCAGAATTGAGACCTCCGGATACGGGGTCGACCTATAACCGGGGTCGACTTACAACCGGTAAAATACGGTAAACCAAAAGTGGTAACTAGATTATCGGGCTTCGCGACTATGCGAAAGTACTTGAGGTAGAGGGGACGGCTCGATACCGGGACGCTTTGACAGCCAAATTTGTATAGACCCAAACCGATCATCAGCGTTGATTTTTCACTCGAAATATGTTTGTGGAAGGAAACTGGCATGTTGAAGTTTGCTCTGGGGCCAGAGTCAATCGAACTGAGCCACTCCTTTGTGTTGACCCATTGCCTCCAAGTTGCCCAATTTTTCGCTTCAAAAAAGTTCAAATCAGAGGTGGCTCCAAACTGGACACGTTTTCGAGTGCACGTCAAATTCACTCTGGGTCTGAAATTAGGTAATTGCTATCGGTCCACGACGGCCAGTACAGAGTAACAATAAGCCTTGTGTGTGCTTCCATTAGTTTTGATTGGTATGCGGTGCTTTATTGGCGAGAGGCGAGCCGCTGTTTACCTGCGACAAGAAGTTGATGTTTCGAAAGTCGTAAAACTCAAGTCGCAGTGCGAAGCAACACGTCAAAAACTCACCTGCTTGATATGGCGCTTCTGGTTATCGCAGAGCCATGAAATTTTGGCTCGGAGTATAACACATCGTAGTCTCACTGTGACATATGTTTTCTAATCAAAATACCAAGAGAGAAAGTGAATATTGAGTCCGTTCCGGTTTGCAACCTGTGTCCTATTTGAAACCGTCCCCTCTACTGACTTTGCTTCATAACCCAACTTTATGATTAATCCTAGTGAGCCCTCCCTTAAACAAAAAACACATACCGTAAAGTCGCGGATAAAAGCCGGGCTTATAAGCACATAAGCCGCTTTCTGCATCAGGCTTTAATGCAAACCAGGCTTGTATGCAAACCATGCTTATATGCACCACTGATATTTTTGCCAGGCTTGTATGCCAGGCTTCTACGCGCGACACGCGTAGATCTTCCACTGACTACCGGTTAGGGAGGGCCCGAATATGCTTGCGCATATTTTCGCATATTTGGTCCTTTTGACACAAGGTCGCATAAACTAGCAATTCTAGCATATTGTACCAAATGTAGCATATTTTGTTGCAAGGAGCAAATAATTCGCATAATTATAGGGCAGATTGCGGAAATGGCCAAGGAAACTCACCATGGCACGCTCGGTCAGGGAACATTTCCAAACTTAGCCCGGAAGGAAAAATGCTCATCCAAACACGGGGCGAAAATTTGACCCGAGAAGAGAGTGTCCGCGACTCAAGGTGGCATATAGTAGCAAGTCTAGCATATTGTACCAAATGTAGCATATTTTGCTACAAGGAGCAAAGAATTCGCATAATTATCACTGATGTCAGTTCATATTTCGAGCATATTTCGAGCATATTTCGAGCATATTTTTCTGCTTTTGTGTGATTTCGAAGCATATTTTGAAGCAAGTGGCCAATATGCGAAAAGCATAATATGCGAATTTTTTTAGCATATTTGGGCCCTCCCTACTACCGGTATGGCGGCAGTTTTACTATGCACCGTACATAGCGCATGCACTCTTGACCCACCCGATCCACGCTTGCATAGAAGCCAGGCTTCTACGCGCGACAGGCTTATATGCATTAGACCCGTTTGATTTTAACCCCTTTAGCGCGAGCGTCGTACTAGTACGACGCACATGAGTTGCATGCCCCACGGCCGTCGTACTAGTACGACGCGCGCTGTACACTGTACAGTGAACCTGCATTTCATAGACGTGGGGTCCGTGTTGAGTCAATAGTGACTTGTTCAAACTATCATAACTCACTCAATACTTGGTCGATTCTCACAATCGAAACATGTATCTGCAAGAGCAAACTCTCAGCTGGCAATAAAAACAATAGCCGAAGCAATACGGCTACCGGTTGTTGAGATATGCGACTCGACACTGCAAATTTCAACTCGATTTTTTTGCGCAGTCTGCAGAACGCGTATTTTCCATCATGGATCATTTGTGCGCTACCTGCTGCCATGGATTCAAATGATGGTAGTCGATCCCGTGAGTCCCCACACAAAATTTGAACTCGATACGAGCCAGGAGACCGAAATGGCAGCTGAATATTTGAGCTCGGTTAGTCTTGGCCGTGCTCAAGTCTGTCGAGCGCGTGGATGAAGTTTGCCAGACTGTAGCACGGGGTTTTGGTTTTGCTCCGAGCTGGTTTGACATTAGTTTGTCCCTCGTCTCAAGACAAGTTTCCAGGAAGCTCGAGATCATGGAATTCGTCCCAGGGAAGGTAAAGTTATCGATCCTTGAGCAGCTAGTAATTTCATGGGAAAATGCGACTTTTACATGTGTTGACGTGGGGCGCGTTCAGGTAGCGTCGTGCTAAAGAGGTTAAGGCTTCTATCCGCGATGTGCTTGTATGCAAACCCGGCTTTTATCCGCGATGTGCTTGTATGCAAACCCGGCTTTTATCCGCGATGTGCTTGTATGCAAACCCGGCTTTTATCCGCGATGTGCTTGTATGCAAACCCGGCTTTTATCCGCGATGTGCTTGTATGCAAACCCGGCTTTTATCCGCGATGTGCTTGTATGCAAACCCGGCTTTTATCCGCGATGTGCTTGTATGCAAACCCGGCTTTTATCCGCGATGTGCTTGTATGCAAACCCGGCTTTTATCCGCGATGTGCTTGTATGCAAACCCGGCTTTTATCCGCGATGTGCTTGTATGCAAACCCGGCTTTTATCCGCGATGTGCTTGTATGCAAACCCGGCTTTTATCCGCGATGTGCTTGTATGCAAACCCGGCTTTTATCCGCGATGTGCTTGTATGCAAACCCGGCTTTTATCCGCGATGTGCTTGTATGCAAACCCGGCTTTTATCCGCGATGTGCTTGTATGCAAACCCGGCTTTTATCCGCGATGTGCTTGTATGCAAACCCGGCTTTTATCCGCGATGTGCTTGTATGCAAACCCGGCTTTTATCCGCGATGTGCTTGTATGCAAACCCGGCTTTTATCCGCGATGTGCTTGTATGCAAACCCGGCTTTTATCCGCGATGTGCTTGTATGCAAACCCGGCTTTTATCCGCGATGTGCTTGTATGCAAACCCGGCTTTTATCCGCGATGTGCTTGTATGCAAACCCGGCTTTTATCCGCGATGTGCTTGTATGCAAACCCGGCTTTTATCCGCGATGTGCTTGTATGCAAACCCGGCTTTTATCCGCGACTTTACGGTATACATTGACTACTGTAAAAAAAAGTTTTGCAGAACACACACTGCACACTGCACACTGCACACTGCACTGACTCTACAAAGCAAGGAGCTCTTGAATCCCCTCCCCAGATCAATTTTGTTGAGATATTGGTTTACGTTCAACGCCCTTACCGTATTTTTCTTGCCACGCGGTGGAGGCACGGCAGGCTGCTGACTCTTCTCGTACAGCATGATCATGCCCTCGTAGTTCCAGCTGGTGCGTCCCGTCGCTTCCTCATAGAAGTACTCTCCACCGTGAACGTCAACCACCATCTTCCACTGCGCCGGGAAGAACTAGCAGACAATAGAAATAATACCACACGCAAAGGCAGACTTGCACAAGAAGGAAGAGAGAGTGTACAGGATTTATTCACAGTATAGAGGTTCAGTGATTACGTCATCATTTGAGATCGTTAGGCATCATCAAACCGAGGAAGTATCAACCTTACCCTGCTCTCCTTTTCCTTGTCTTTGTCCTTTCCTTTCTTCTTGCTCTTCGCTTTGTCACGGCTAACAGTGGCCGAGGCAGCCTCACCACCATCGGTGGATGATACAGACACCGTAGCAGCACGTGTTCGCGTTGGCGCCTGCGACTGCTGTTGAACAGAACCACGATGAGCGGCGGTGGAGGATGAAGAGCGGGAACTGTTCGCCACAGCGATGGAACGCTTGCCGTGGAAGAGAGAGTTGCCGGTGGCAGGAACGGACTCCGTTCGCGCTCGCATTGCTCCACTGGTTTCGGTCTGGGGTGTTGAAGAGCGCCGCGCGTCTCCACCACCGGGCAGGATATGACTAAGTAGCGTACTGCTGTGAGATTTTGAACGAGAGTTGCCCGGAGGCCGGCTCGGAAGCGGAGGTGGAGCGCTGTCATCGTCATCTATGCAGGCGTAGGGGGGCGGTCGTGCAAGCTTCCCTGCCGCTGCGGACCCCGGTCCACCAGTGCCGTCGTCCTCGTCCTGCGGAATCTCGGAGTACACGGCCGGTTTGCCACGGCGACCGAGAGCCGACGCCACAGAGTTGGCATGAGGTCGCAGCGCCGCACTGGTGCTCCGCTGCCTAGCGCCCATCGTGGCCATGGCAACCGGATCGTCGGCCATTTCCACGTACTCGTCGGGGCCGTCGTCGTCAGCCAGTGCTACGCTGGAGTCCAGCGATGGACGTGGCGTGAGCGGGGAGCGGGACGATGACAGGCTCGGGCTCGGCATTGCAAGCATGCCCGGAGCATCTAGCGGTGACATGGGTATGTAGTCCTCTCCAGGAAGACTGGAGCTACTGGCAGTGCTGTGCGATCCACAGTGCTTCAGCGGGCTGTGCTGACGCTCCAGGAACGGATCGGAGCGCACCGACTGGTCGCTCATGTCTATGTAGTCTTCGGTTGGCGACGCCGTGGACAGCGCTGCACCCGGGGCCATTTCGATATACTCCTCTGCCGCTGACGCCGCTTTTGTTTCCGTCGACGGCTCCAGCACGGCAGCGGCCGTGGCTGAACGTGTGTGGTGTACGGGTGAGCGATGGAGTAGCGTGGTCGGGCTGCTGACCTGGCGTGCATGCTGGTCGTGAGACGCAGGCACCTGTGGCCGCTTTAGACCACCGCTCTCTGCTCCCGAGTGCGGAGTGAAGAACGGACTGGATGTCGACTGCGACAGCACCTCGGTGCTACCACCGGCGGAACGAGACAATGATGTCGTGGATACGGACGTGGTGGATCTGTTCAAGTGATCGCGGCTGCCACGGCGACTGGCCGGGTTCTTGGGAGGTAGAGTCGGCGGCTGTGGTGACGAAACGTTCTCTGTTGATACGCACGCTACAGGCAAGTGAGAGACACCCATGTCGAGAGAACCACCACGAGACAACTGACGAGGCAGCGTGGCCGACAGGATGCTGTGTGACGAGTGGGAACGACTGGCCTTCTGCGGAAGTGGAGGAGGCGAGTTAGCCAAGCTTGCCGGCTCGGATTGGTGCTGCGGCGAGTAGGCCGAATCTGGTGGAAGAGGCGGTGGAGAGGACGGTGTGATTTTCAGAGCTATGTTCTCTTCTACTGCTGCCATTAGTCCTGTATCGCTTGGTTTGAAGAAATCCTCTGACTTGGAGCGCTGCATGTGTGTGGTGGCAGGTCGTGCGTGTTCGGGCGACACCAGGCCTTCAGGCACCGACGGCGACGTAGAGAGGACGGCTGACCGAGCTGGCGAGCGGACTGTCTTCACCGTGTCGTCGCTCTCTTGCACACTGGCCTGTGTTGCTGTCGCTGACCCTGGCTGGGTATGGTTGGCCTGATCGGACTTCACTGCCGGTTTCGCATCCTCTGATGGTGTTTTTCGGGGAACCGGTGGAGAAATTGAGTGCACTGCTGTGGTCCTAGAGCTAGATTCAGTGACGGCACCTCCGCGAGAGATTGGCTCCGACACCGGTAGATTGACCATGTGGCGACGGCTTGGCTTTGGCGAAATGGGCGGTGGTGCCCGCTTGCTAGGGGCTGGCCGAGGCGAGTCCGCGTTGTGTGTTGCCTGAGGTGGTGGTAAGGTTACATCTGTTGAACGTGAATCCTGCGAGTTGCTAGCTGAACTGTTGGCTGGGGTGCTGGCTGTGGTGCCAGCTAAGATGCTGGTTGAGGTGCTGGGGGCTAAAGCACTGGAAGCACTGTGGACTAGAGATGACTCGGACTTCGTCATGGCCTTATCGCGGTTCCTGCGCAGAGTTCTAGGCGAGGGAACCGGTTTGCGCGCAGGACTGTGGCGCGGACTGGGCGATCTGTGCCCTTCCGAGTTTGTAGTGTCCGAATGGTGCTGCACAAGTGACGTGGCCGATGCATTCACGTACTCCCCAGCAGACTCCACATCAGAGGGTTTACTTACAGCATGTGATGGAGATTGCCTGTCTCGATGTTTGGGCGATGGCTTCGCAGGACTGTGTGCTTCTGACACTGCCTCAACTGATGGTCTTCCACCGAGATTTGCTGCATTGTCGGTTTGCAACTCATGCTCGGCAACAGCAGATGCTGCTGATTGGTCGGATGAACACAGCAACCGAGCTGGACTTGCCCCATTGCTCTTTGTCTCCTTCACCGGTGACAGGATGGATTCATCTTTCATTGCGCTCGCCGATTTGGCCTTGCGTGGCGGCACAGGTGCTGCCGCTGTGGCTGCGCTTGCATCGTCGCTCAAGTCGTACACGGAGCGTTCGTCCAGGTGCAAGGACGTCTTGCGTAGCTTGGCGACTGGCTGGAAACCGGTTTCCTGGCGGCGACGGATGCTACGCCGTACAGCGGTAGCCGTGCCGACGTCCTTGCTACTGCCACTGGTGGTGCTGTGTGCTCGTGTGAATTCCTCCGCTATCGGAGAACACGGCACTTCGACGATTTCCGGGAGGTCTCCCATTGTCTGAGCACCACCCAGCGTTGACGTGGCTGAGACCGCTGCCCGTGGGTAATCTGAAACACCACCGTCTACGTCGTCTTCGCCTTTCTCGTTGTCCTCGGTTACGCTGTTCACAGGAACCATGAGGTCGCTCTTGCCGATCTTCAGGAGGAGACGATCAAACGCATCTGTCCACGCGTCCAGATCTCCCGGCGTGTCCGGCTTGAGAAAATAGCGCACGGTTCCGTCCGCGGTGGAAGTGTTGCTGATGTTTTTCACGCCGCTGCGTGGCCGAACGACATCCACTTGCACGCCAAACGTCATCAGACAATCGTCTTCACCACCATCACTTCCCAGTTGTTCGGATGACCCATGCTCTGAACTACGCGACATGGAGAAATCGAGCATGGACGTCGGGTTGAGTACGGAGATGGCGACAACGTTCGCGAAATCGATCAGCTCTCGCCGTGTCTCGCCGACAAAGGCGAGCAGTTGGCGCCCTTTCAATGCACACAGCAATCTGCGGTGTGTCGTGGACAGGCCCTGGATGTTGAGAAGTCCAACGGATAGTTCACTGGCTGTCGAGCGTCCTCTCTGATGGTGCCGCTGCTGATCGGATGAAGTTCCAGATGCTACACTACCCCGTGATGATGTCGATCTACTGCTCGCGTTACTGTTGAACAGGGTAGGGGTGGTAGGTGTCTGGGTGTCGTCGATTAGTAAATAGCCCGTGTGGAGTAGCTCTCCGTCGCCGAACTTCTCCAGGATGCTGGACGGATGTGCACTAGCTGCTGTTGTCACGGCTTCCAACCACCGGTAGATGTCCTGCAGGGCAAGCACAAACACAGAAATGGGCACACACACACACACACACACACACACACACATACACTACACACACACACACACACACACACATATATATATATATATGGAAGCTCACACACGCACAAATGCACGCACGCACACACACGCGTGCACACACACACACACACACACACACACGCACAAGGTTAGACAGGGATAGATGAGCAAGTAAATCCGGACACCACAAGACTTGTGATTACAAAACGCTGGAAGACGGAAAAGCTTCTACTCTCTCTACCAAAGTCAGAGTGTTGAGGGGGGGGGGGGGGGGGGGGGAGGGATGTTCCTTCAAACGTTTTCCATTTCAACTCCCTCCAACTCACGACACTATAAAGTTTTCAATAACATGTCAGGAAAGTAAAGTGCGTATATCCGCATTATCACTGGCCACAGATGTGCAAGTACAGTAAGACCTGCAACTAACGACCACCCCTTGGGGCCACACACAGCGGTCTTCAGTGGCACATGGTCCTTAGTTAGAGGTTTGCACCGCACAACCAGATATGAATGTGAGACCGTCCGTGCCTGGCGAAGTGGTCTGTAGTACCAGGGTGGTCGCTAGTCACGGTGGTCTTTAGTTGAATTCTTTATTCTCACGATGGCACCATCGCCAATAAGAGATAAATTTATGAGAAGGTGAGATGCTGTGGGTGGGGCTGTGGGTTATGCAGTTGGAAAGTGATTTACGTCACTTTGAATTTTACAAGTATGGTACTAGGTGAGCGCTGCAGGAGCAGATCGGTTATAGGTTTTTACTGTACTCCTAAATAGTGCTGTATGGCGTGGAGTCCCACTCACCTTGCCAGATGTCCGCAGCAGTATGGAATCTCCCGTCAACGTGCTGATTCGAAGCATGTCACTGCAGAGGCATGACAAGAGTTAGAACAAAAAGAGCTTTCAAATTGGAGAACGCCAGGCTGGAACGTGCCATGTGTACATTGAATATAAAACAAGCGATGCTCGGTATATAGGAGAAGTACTAGGTGAACAGTTGATGAACATTGGTGGGGGGGGGGGGGATAATAGTCGGTCAATTCAAAGACATTCTTCTGTCATGGACATGGAAATCCGGTCGCACGTCTAGCGGCCCCAAGGCGCTGGCCATGCAGCCGTGGATAAGCGGTACACACATGCACTTATGCGCTGCAGTGCGCTGGTCGCATCGCATCAACATGACAATGCACTGCACGCAGCATTCTGTACGCGCTGAGGGCGCAGGCCCCGGTCAATCGACTGGATTTCCACGTCCGCTACAGTATGTGTGTACCGAAAACGTCTAGTATAGCGTCCCTACGGGAAAACCTGTCAAGGCGACCACGTTTATCTACACATTGTCTTGAAGTGTTTTTTTTTGCTCCACTGAACCAATATCCAGGTTTCATGCCTTCTACTGAACAGTTTCATTCTGACGAAAATCCAGTGGAACAAAAGTAAATCTCAACTCACAGTTTCCGGCTTAGAAGCAACCATTAGGACATCAGTTTCACTCGATAATGTAATTCCAGACAGTTTCAACTGTCCACAGAGATCTAAGCAGATCACTTTGCATGCCCACACATGGCTGTGCACTGTGTAAGTACAAAGTTTCGTTTGGAATAAACTTTCGCCATATTCGTTAGAGGGTATGAAATAACTAAAGTTTGTACCAAACGAAAGTTCATTTTCTGAACTTTCGGGGGGGACAGACCTCGACCAAAAACGAATTTTAGTGCGTAACGAACCTGCTGGTGGAGTGATGTAATGAAAGATTTCGTGAACGAAAATTTGTACTTATAGCAGTAGTTACCGTTTCTTGGACACGTCCACTGCCTGCTCCGCTGTGCACTGCTGCAGTTGTATGTGCGTGATCGGCTCTTCTTGATTCTCTTCAGTCTGCACAAATCGCAAACACAAACACGCAAGTAGACACTGCTATACCATCCACAAAGCAGGGTAGGCGGGTGTGTGGGTGGGGGTGATAAAAGAAGTTCCTCCGCACATCTACCCCCCTGCATACACACTGCAAACTGTACTGTAGTGATCCGTAAACGTGATAAAAAAAGTTCTTCCGCACATCTATTCCCCTGCATTCACACTACACACTGCATTCCATTGATCCGTGACCGTCAAACAAATAATTATACCATAACTCACAACAGAGGCTATGGAGATGACGTTGAAAATTCGTGCTGGGTTATAAATGGCTACAAGTTCCACCCGCCGACATCAGACTTTTACAGTCTACAGGCAACTTCTCTACCAACGACTGCGGATATAACGACAATTCGCGGATAACAACAGAATTTCCATGCCCAGAGCAACGTCCAATCTAACTGTAATACATATAATGAGACTTTGGGTATAACGACACTTCGCGAATAAGGACACTTTTCTGATGCCCCGCCGAGTATCGCTATACGCAGAGTTGACTGTACATGATCAAGCTGGACAAAGGTAGCATTACCTCTTACACCTATCCTGCCTCTCTAGTGAAAACAAACTCTGAGCTGTGCTCACAGTCTTCCTGTATCTGCATACGTTCTCACCTCTTCGTCGCGATACAGCAGCATGGCATTGCCGTCCACCCGTGCCCAGAAGCGCTGCCAGTTCTCAGACTTGCTGCGGCCCGCCACGCGTGTGCCGGCGTGCGACTCCTGGAACTTCAACAGGTAGCCCTGGCACTGCTGATGGAGAACTGACGTGTTCTCAACCTGCAGCATGGACAGGAGAACACCAGGGAAGACACACACACACACACACACACACACACGCACACACCCACACACACACACACACACACACACACACACACACACACCATTTTTGAGACTTTTGGCAACCGTAGAATCCCGCCGATAAGCCCACGGGCTTATCTGTTTCACAAGGACATATCGGTGGGCTTATACAAGAACATGGCCTTATACTCGGGCATGGGCTTATACGCCGGCACCAAAACTGTGCTATTGAAAAAGTATCAGACCCACCACAACGTGGTCAAAGACCAGTAACCCCGTTAAGTTAACTGCACCCATTAAACAAGGAAAGTTTATTGAAAAGCATCTACATAAAACAAAATGCGGGTGCTGGCACACTCACTAGACAAATATACTCCACACAGAGTTGCACAGTACAGTCAGACCTCGCTTATCTGGTCCTCTGTTATCCCGATCCCGTGCCATCTGGAAGAAAATCATTGGTTACCGATTTACATCACATGTCATGCAAACACACACAGTATGTGTGTGTTTGATTATCCGGTTCCCTCGCCTATCCCGATAGGTCTGTCTGTAATGGTGTTAGAAAGAAATACCTACCCGTCTGCCAAAGAAACCTCGCAATAAATGCAGTGCACTTACCACAGCGAAGTGTTCGTTGATGGCCGTCAATATCGAATTGTCGTTTCTGCCGTGAGCCGAACACAGCACGAGATGACATGCCGACGGACTTGCCCACGTAGCGCGGAGTGACAGCGGTCGCTCCGAGTCATGAACGAAGCGCGACTGAAACGAAACGCGCTCCGCCTCGCCATCGGCAGGCGGAGCGCTCGCTTCGCCACTCGAGCTAGTAGCGGTTGTGGCAGGCTTTAGTTCCACCAGCGCATATCTACAGAAATGAGAAGACACGGAGCAAGGAGAGAATACAGAGCCATGAGAACACGGATGCATGAGAACATGGATCAACGAAAACACAAATCCACTAAAATACAACACAATGAAACACAAATCGATGACAACATTGATCAACGAGGGCAAGGACCAGTGAGAACACACTGAGGAATGAGACCTTAGTGCAATGAGACACCACACAGCAAGGAGATCACGGAGCATTGGGAGAACACAGAGCCCGGCTCATTTCGAGATTTAGTCGGAAACCTTCACTTGTACCGCAGCAGCTACCCCAGAGACCACCGATAGTTTGCCCCCAGCACCAGCGGATTATAAAGAGAGATATGAGCTAGTGTGATATGGTGTGTGTGTGCTACGGTCATGTAAAGTGAGATATTCAAAAAGTCTTCTATTGTAACCCATGGGGAAAAGTCAGCACAACCATACTCACTGGGATGAATCACTGGAGGATTTCCCTAGCTGCTTCAGCACCATGGCAACCAGTTCCGTGCTACGATGTTTGCTCTTGAGTGGCAGAGAGACAGACGGCTGTAGCGGTGATACCAGCACTGTGAATACCGTCACCACACTCTCTCCCTGCATACAGACAGACGGGTGCAGGTACACACACATACACACACACACACACACACACGCACACACACACACACGAGCGCACGCACGCACGCACACACAGATGAGCAAGAAAGAAAGGAAAAACGGGCACATATGCAAGCATGAAGGGATACACACACAGAAGTGTGCACACACACACGTGCACGCACACATACACACACACACACACACACACACACACACACACACACACACACACACACACATGGTCCTGGTATACACTGCCATGTAGGTCACGTGTTTCTCGTTGAGCGAGACAGAAACGAGAGGAGACACGAGCGTTGGTGACGGGATAGGTCGCACGCACACACACACACACACACACACACACACACACACACACACACACGCACACGCACACGCACACGTACACACACACACACACACACACTGTCAAAGGCTCCGAGGCCCCAAAAGCCGGCATTCTAGACTTTCAGTCAAAATATTCACTTCAGAATACATGTTGATGACATTAGTCTGCAAGGTAGTGAAACAAACAAATCATGAAACATACCTTAAGAAGGTTATCTGCGGATGCACGACCAAACGTGAGTTTCTTCAGCTTGCCAGTACGGTGTGGCTTGTCCTTCGGGTTTTGTCTGCGTAATAATTTCATGCAGCGAAAACGATGAAAAATGTTGAATTGTTAGGTAGTGTAGTTAGCTCAAGAAAAGAGCACTAGCGACGATGCTTGACAGAGGTATGATACTGGTCCAAGAGAAGGATGGGAGTGTTGGTGTGTGTGGGTGTGGGGGGGGGGGGGGTGCATATGTGTGTGCATGTGTGCATGTGGTCGTGCGAGTGCATGCGTGGCTGTGTGTGTGTATGTGTGTTCGTGTGTGTGCTCGTGATCATGCATGTGCGCGTGAAGGAAACATAAAAGCGATATAGACGGACAGACAGACAGACAGACAGACACACACACACACACACAGTTAGACAGGCAAGCAGGCAGACAGAAAGGTAAGTAAGTAGGGTAGCCGTGTGGATGAGCGAAAGGATGACTAGCTGGCTGAACCGACATGCATACAAGCATAGATAGATAAAGGGTTTCGGAAGGACAGAACAAGATGTTGTCGTGTGCTGATGTGAGGACAAGATTACCTTAGCTGTGGAGATGGACTCTGCGATGGTGGTGTATTGCAGTGGCCGCTAATGGGTGAATCCGTCCAGTTAGCAGTGTTATAACTGTCCACGCTACTCGCACTACTGCCACTGCCGGGCGACGAAGAACGGGCACGACCGTCGTCAATGGCGACTGCTCGGCGAATCCGCATCATACCGCTGTGATGCATGGAGCAAACACAGAGGAACACATAGACATTATTGGGTACAATACCAAATTGGCCATGTTGGAATAAAGTTTTGATGGTCCGCACCATATTAGTACTATCAGTACCATCCTTAGACTTGGAGATGGACGGCCACCGTTATTTCCTACCACTTCCCACCATAGAGTGCCATCTACTTGCCTTAAGTCATGCACATTAACTCACATACTCTTACTTGGGATAAGCCACTCCAGTGCCATGGTATGTCCTTGTGTGCATTTCCATACAGCATCCAACAGTCCCGTGCTTTCAAAAGTCCCGAGCTTTCCAAAGTCCCGCGCTTTCAAAAGTCCCGCGCTTTCAAAAGTCCCGCACTTCAAAAAGGCCGCGCAAAGCGCACGAGTTAGTAGGCCTTGAGAAAGCAACTTCAACACGTAAATCACAACAGTCGATCACTAACCCGACAAACTTCTGCCTGTCCTTGGCCAGATCCGATACGATGGCCGGGAATCCCGGTCGACTCCCCGGCACCTTTGCCCAGCACTTGAGCATGAGCGAGTGGAACTCGTCGGGGCAGTCCTGCGCTTGTGGTAGTCGATAGCCATTACCTACATGTAGCTTGGTCTGAGGGTTGGTGAGGTCACCGTACGGCACCGCACCGCTCGTCACAAACTCATAGAACATGATACCAAAGCTCCTGCACAGCAAAGAAATCAGGAACCGTAAGCATACGCATGCACAGGGGCGCCTCTCGCACATCTGTGCTGTGGTCACCATGTACTGTAAAAGCCATAGATATAACGAAGTGCTAACTCTAACGAGTTAACGAGGAGAAATCGTTATACAGAAATCGATACATAATATGTATCGATGATACTGTCCTATTGAGCGTTGAGAATGAGTGAGAATGAGTGAGAATGAGTGAGAATGAGTGAGAATGAGTGAGAATGAGTGAGAATGAGTGAGAATGAGTGAGAATGAGTGAGAATGAGTGAGAATGAGTGAGAATGAGTGAGAATGAGTGAGAATGAGTGAGAATGAGTGAGAATGAGTGAGAATGAGTGAGAATGAGTGAGAATGAGTGAGAATGAGTGAGAATGAGTGAGAATGAGTGAGAATGAGTGAGAATGAGTGAGAATGAGTGAGAATGAGTGAGAATGAGTGAGAATGAGTGAGAATGAGTGAGAATGAGTGAGAATGAGTGAGAATGAGTGAGAATGAGTGAGAATGAGTGAGAATGAGTGAGAATGAGTGAGAATGAGTGAGAATGAGTGAGAATGAGTGAGAATGAGTGAGAATCGTTACCTTTGGTACGCGTAAACTACTGTAAAACCGGAAAGTCTAACGAGTCACAAAGTCTAACGTTTTAACGACCAATTATTTTTCATTTTTTGAATAAAACGTTATCGCTAGATGTTTGTGTAAAGATGCGCATACAGATGGGTGGCCAGCTAGCCATCGTTAAACGTTCTGCACGTAATCATGCCAAAATTACAAAAAAACGTGAAAAGTTTTTGGTCGTTAGACTTTCCGGTTTTACAGTTGTCAGTTTTGGGAAATCGTTATATATGCGCCTCGTTAGAATAATGGTTTTTACAGTACCACCGGCAACCCCATAGCCCCATATACAGTACCACCGGCAACCCCATAGCCGTCAGTTTGCCTATTTGACTACGTAGTACCTAGGACGGCCAGTTGATGGTGTGGTGACTGGACGGGGTAGCTTCTTCCCTTACCAAACATCGAATGCCAACCCCAAATTTACCTTCAAGCTAGCCAGACCCAGCATGCATGGCTCAAACACCGTCATCCAAAGCAAAAAAAGGTCAAAACCCCTATCCGTCCCCGTGGTAACTTCTTGCGTTACACCATGCCAACTTCTTCCCTTACCAAACATCGGCTGCCTTGCTGAGCAGACCGTCAAAGAGTACCTCCGGTGCTGTCCAGCGGGTGGCAAACTTAGCCGGCTTGCCAGACACATGGCACTCAGGTGAGCCCACTAAGCGTGCCAGACCAAAGTCAGAGATCTTCAGCACGCCGTCGGAGTTGATCAAGATGTAGATTACGCAAAGTGTCAGTCAAGGAAGAAACCGCGTGCAGTACAGTAGAGACACTTTAGTTGAGCTTTGCATTGCATTGTTGTGACAAGTTCACGTCTTACCCCCACCCCGCAACACCCCAACCCTCCAGATAACTGGCACATACAATGTCAAGACTTGTCCATTGCTGAGGACTATCTGCCACTTTAGGTGGACATCGACACCGGCTGCAAGACCATCATGCATAGAACAATGCCCCCCCCCCGCTCCGTTTCCATGTCTTTCCCCCGCCCCTACCCCCACCCCTCGGCACACTTGCTGGCAGCCCCACCACCATACCAAATTATCTCTAAGAGTAACGTAAGCCAGAATCAAACACGCTCTACGTTGTGACCCTAGTTGCCCGACTGTGTGAGAGTAAGAAGAGGATATATTCCTAGCAGCCAGATCGCAGTGCAGCACACCGCGCTGATGCAGGTAGTCCATGCCGGCTGCCACCTGGAACGCATACTCAAGCTGCTCGCCCGGCGTGCTGGCCGCCTGAGCGCGCAGACTGTTCAGAAAGCAACCACGCATCAACTCCTGCAGGTGAGGAAACACATACCGCAGTGTACCATGTGAAGTTCTGTCTGTGCATAGTACTGCATACCCTAGTGTAGTGTATTAAAGCCTGTCCGGCATAGAAGTCTTATTTGAATACAAGCTTGATTTTCAAGATGAACGCTCCACACATCGGCGTGATTTTGGTGTTGACATACGGTGTACATAGAAATACCTGGTTAGAATACAAGCTTGACTTGAACAGAAACAAAACCCTGACATCAAGATTACAGTAACCAAACACAGGCCGCACTACCATTGTCTTCTGTTCAGTTGCGCTACTGGAAAATCCACCCTCGTAGCAATTTGCTATGGCCAGTATACAGTACATGTAGGCTCCTTATCCAGGGTCTTTGGAAATGACAACCGTTGGACCTACAATTTTAGCTGCAGTGGTCCTCTAGAACAGGTGATCGCCTTATCCAGGGTCATTGGACTGGGAATAAGACCCCTAGGTCCTGGTTGTACTGGTCCTCTGTAGCAGGTTGCCTTCTTACCAGAGTGGTCGCCTGTACAGGCTTGACGCTACAGTCAACTTTGCTTATAACGACACTCGGCGGGGCATCAGAAAAGTGTCCTTATTCGCGAAGTGTCCTTATACCCAAAGTCTCATTATATGTACACAGGTAGATGGGACTTTGCTCTGGCCATGGAAATTCTGTCGTTACATGTATATCCGCAGTCGTTATTTGCGAAGTTGACTGTACATACGACTCACCAGGACAAGATAAGCTGGCTCCACAGTCAGCGCCACAGCTAGCAGTGACACAACATTACTATGATTTAACGACCTGTGCATGTACAGACAAGACCAGACAACACATTGCATAAGATTAGCGTTCGGATAGTACACACCATTATTTCTGTTTTACAGTGCCACCCAGGTATAATCAGGCATCGTGGTGGCCTGGCAGGAGTGAAATTTCTTAGCGAAGTTGGTTGTGTTTCTCAACACAATTGCATAGTCGGCAGTAACGAGGATGTGAGAAGTTCACTTCTTACTTTACTGCACAGACTATTGCTCTATAAACAGATAAACTGACATCAAGAAGAGCAGACACTCAAAACCAGCCGTAGATGTATGTTCAGTTTATATATACTGCATTGTCATGCCGATGAGGACACATGTGAAAACGAACCCGTACGGACGCAGGTAAATGTGCAGCCACACACACATTTTTTTGGACCTTTTTGACGCCCATCGCCGGAGTCGATGATAGCGATGCTACAGCAGAAGCCATAGCAGCTTATGCTGGGATTGCACCATTCAACAGCTTGCAAGACTGAATAATTGACCACCACTATTCAGCCTGGTCTACACCACACAGCTATGAAGTGGCTTTTTTGGCCAGTGAATCCCTATTTTTGGTCTTTTTCATTTTTCCCGCACACACATCACACCACATACTCCTGCATGCACTGGTTGTTGGTAACCACCCAGGAGAATGAAAGAAAAGCCAGAAGATGTCTGAGAAAGAGAAGAAAGATGTGTGTGACCATAATCGTCGGGAATCGAACCCGCAACCTCTCGATTGGAAATCGCTGCACATACCACTGCACCCTATGGGACACACACACACACACACACACACACACACACACACACACACACACACACACACACACACACACACACACACGCGCGCACACAAACTACCATACACATGCCTATGGACCAAACTTCATTTCGACTGCTCTGCTTTCTGCTAAAGTCACAGAAGCATCACATTGAACAGAAAATATTCATACATAAACAAAAGCAACGGCACATACCTCATGATTTTGGCTTCACGATGAAACTCGTCTATAGCCAGTTGATCGCATTTCGGCCGCAGAGTCTTGATGGCGACTGCTCGTTTGTCCCAAAACCCGTTGTAGACCTGCATCGGAACGCGGGGAGCAGGAAAACAAAATTTCAGAAGAAGAAAGGAGGGAGGGGTAGTGCCAAGATGTTCGGGATAGACAGGCTCTGACCCGACCAGATTTCAATGATTATAATGCATTCAAATACTGCATGTACATCACTAGGATCGGTGGAAGAAGCCTCTGACTTGTATGGCCATACCATGGCTCAGTCTGACCCCGCCATCGGATACGTGGAGCATACAACTCCAAGAAAATGTTTAACAGAGGCACACGCCAAAGAACCATGTCGAAACTGTGATTCATTTCGATGCGCCCAGCATCCATTGTACAGCGGGCTCTCACCTCTCCAAACTTTCCCTTGCCGAGGCGCTCGGCTAGCTTCAGGGAAACAACCGGTACCTCCAGCCCCTCAATGACGTCGTAACGACGTCGTGCAGAAAGGAGAGCCTGCTTGGTAGCTTCCAACTGCTTGACAGGGATCGGCTCGGATAGCGATAAGTGGGTGCCCTGCCACACAAAAAGAGAAACAGGAGAATTTGGTTGAGAGAGTAGTCGTTCGTGACATTCTAACACTCGTTAAATCCCAATTGTTATAAGCAAACAATGTACAGGTAGCAAGCCTGTGGATCATCTTATAGGCACTGAGTATACAGCGGTAGTCGGCAATTTAGCTTCAGCTAGTGAGTGGCTGGGTCGCGGCTTTGGTACTCCATACAGATCGCATCTCAACACCTCTATAGAGGTCATGAGATTACAACATCAGTCGAGATTCTTCGAGCAAAAGTCGCCGGACAGCAACAATGCACCAGCTCAAGCAGATCCGCCGACTAGCGCTGTATACTGTATAGCAGGAAATATCCGGACGGAAATATTTTCGGACAAAGTCGAATTTCGACCTTTCGTAAGGATTATATTTTCGTACAGTGCTGCATGCTAAATGCACGTGTTCGCAAGCTGTACGCATGTATAGTGTACATAATTTCACACAAACAAATTTTAGTGCGGAATGAATTTTAGTACAAAGAGGCCGTGTACGGAATCATACGAAAACACATTCCGTCCGAAAATGTCGTACATTGCACCCATCAGCGGTTCCACTGACTCACGCTGTACACTTAGGGTAGCGCCCATGAGTGGTTCCGCTGACTCAAACACATGATATCTTTTGCATAAGCTCTGTGGTGCTGTTGTGCTTCTATGAAGCCATGCACGAGACAGAGAGACTCGTCTCTCGTAATTATATCCCAGCAGTCAGAGTTGCATGGACAACAAGGAAGGTTTGGGCAGACATTGATTGGCATTGGGAGAGCGCTATAGGAGAAGGACGGCTGCGTGACAGACTGACAGACCATGTGCCGACAACTGAGAAAGAAAGCAAAGGCCTGCATGATTGAGAACGAAGCATGCGTACAAAGACCGGTCACGGTGGTAACCGAAAAACGTGACCGTGCAATCTACAGATGAAATCCGATGAACTCCAACCCCATCATACCGGGATATGACCCCACCAGTCTTGGATCTGACCATATCCTAACGGGATCCGAATAGCTGCCACTCTCCGTCATACCGGACAGTCCACACTTGGGACCAGTACCAAGCAATATAGATGTTGACATACCAGTATGTGTGTATGTGTGTGTGTGTGTGTGTGTGTGTGTGTGTGTGTGTGTGTGTGTGTGTGTGTGTGTGTGTGTGTGTGTGTGTGTGTGTGTGTGTGTGTGTGTGTGTGCGTGTGTGAGTGTGTATGTGTGTCCCTCATCCGGCTCCTCCACCTGCCAAGACGTTCAGCTTCGCATGCGGACGGTAGTTCCGCAGAAGTGGCTACCTCAAGCGTCATCGACATTTCTGCCTGGCTCATTAAGCCTATCATCGCCTCCGGCGATGGGGTGCCAGAAGGTCACAAGGTGTGTGTGTGTGTGTGTGTGTGTGTGTGTGTGTGTGTGTGTGCGTGCGTGTGTACGTGTGTGTGTGTGTGTGTGTGTTTGTGTGTGTGAGAGAGAGAGAGAGAGAGAGAGAACTAAGTCATGCACATTGGTTCTAGTGACTGCGTAGCACGCGTGCACGGGGGTGGGATGCCATGCATTGATACCAACTGCAGAGTTACGTCTGTTGACGTTATCAGACAACAGATCTTGCTCCATGCTCCACTCTTGATGGGATTTGGACCCAGAGTGGGTTGGCCACGGTTTGAAGGCAGGCCGAGCCTGACTGCCTATGACATACACCACACCCAGCTCTGGAGATTGTATGATCGGGATGGCAACGGACCGGCGGCTGTCAGTACCGACTGAGGTCACGTCATACGTATTCTGTGCAAGTGTTCTGCCTCCCCTGCCCAGCTTGTGCTCCGTGAGCATGCATTCTGTATGCAAAATGTCAGACATCCCCCCCCCCCCCCCCCCAACACACATTATCAAACAGTAAAGCCTGCCCTAACTGGGCGCCCTTGAGCCTTGGTGCAGCGGAAACCGTCTTGCTAGGACAGGATTCCGCTTGACCCATGGATGCACGTTCGATCCACAGCACTTTGGTGAATGTTATGTTACTCTTATTTACTTCACCATAGGTACAGGCATTGCTGCCTTCTAGCTGTGGATAATAAATGATGCCACAGCTCCTAGGCTATGATGAAAAGACATGAACCTCTGTCCGGCCACTAGAGGTACGGGGTGCAGCAAACGCAGGTTTTACACTGCTCCTGCGCACCACACAAGCAGCAGAGTGACCTCTGACTAAAATCCCCAATATACAACTTTCTTGGAGAGAGGTCCGCATACAGTGAAACCTATCTAAGCCAACCACTCAAGGGACCTTCAAAGTGTGGTCTCTGTTGCCAGGTGGTCTCCTTGTCCAGGGTCATTCGACCGTAAATGACATCCCTTGGTCATGGTATCCAGTGGTCTTCTAGAACAGGTGGTCGCCTTATCCGAGTGGTCACCTTGACAGGTTTTACTGTAGCTAAATACAATCCTGGTGCCTACCAAACAAGGTCTTACCGCTTCATCTCGCTGGAAACCACCTATAAGGAGAACATCGATAGCACCAGCGATGGACAGCACCTGTTAGAACACAACAATGTGTACAGTACAGGTATTGGCAATGTCAACGAACCACGGTTTCGCAAGAAGCAGCTCGCTTACTTGAAGTATATTTGGGAGCTGCCCCTCTCACTTCGTAGTGATGCCATCACATTACACATACTGTAAAAGCAGAAATTTTCGGTGGTGTTCTATTTTCGGTAACTTCAGTGCCGACAATTTCTACCGAAAATAAAACGCACCGAAAATTTCGGTACAACCGATACTGTATACATGTAGTACTAGTAGGATACCGTATTATCTCTAATATAAGCACAGTCTCCAATAATAGCACGTCTCCAATAATAGAACACCTTGGGGCGGCATTCAAAAAATAAAGTGCTCAGTCTCCATTATAAGCGCACTGTGTAAATTCATTATCTGTACCGGCGGAAAAAACCCTGAAATGTGTGTGTCATACATGAATTTGGCATGGCAACATGCTTCTGAAATGAGGTTGAAATAATACTGGAACAGTCTCCAATAAAGGACCGTCTCCATTAATAGCACGGAGCGGAGGTACATTCAAAAAATAAAGGACCGTGCTTATATTAGAGATAATACGGTACCTGGAAAACGGGTTTTACCGAAAATTTCCCTCTACCGAATCGCCGATTTTGGAGAATACCGAAAATATTCCACCGCCGACAATTTCTGCTTTTACAGTAATAGACGAGAGGTACAATGTTATGTATGTGTGTTGGATGGTTGGCGGGGAGCCATTATCCAACCTAGCACGGTACCTTTGTACTGCCGCCCGGCGCAAACATCCTCAAGTTTAGGACCAGCCCGAGAATACACTAAGAACTAGTGCTACGTATACTTCAGGTGCAGTTCACAGATAACCTATACTGAACTCAACAACTGTCAGCAGATCTTCATGTTGAATCTTGCGATTCGATCGTCCTTTGAAGCGTTCAGCCAGGCACGACGTCACAACCACTGCTTCGCCACTACACACAAAGCGTGGAGGTCGTGTGATTACATCATCGTCTGAGAGGTCTTGTATGGTGATTACATCATCACTGGAGATGCCCTGTATCAGTGAGTGTATAGAGTGGCCACTAGCCAAGCAGTGGGAGTGCAGTGGTGTTCTTTAGTGCTGCTCTGCCAGTCTAAACTAGCACGGTTTGTATGGTTTGTCACGCAATGCGACTCTGCCAGTTTTACGTCAAACACAACCATACCAATGAATCATGATTGAAAAGAAGCAGGAAAGAGCAGCGGCAAATAATGATAGGGGGCCAACGCAAGGTGGCTTTGCCAGTGGGGCAAACCAAGCTCAGCCGAGAGACTGTCGCCTCGGCTTCTTTGCCAAAACTATGCACTGTAGAGTTCGAAATGTCGTCTCTATACAAACTGTAGCATTGTTTGCGACTCTACATGATCCATGCACTCCATGCAAAGCATATCCATTGACCTCATACAGTCATACATAGTCATTGTAGGCTCATTCGCATGACCTCACTTTTTCACATCAAGAAGCAGTCATACACCATTGTTTGGATTTGTACTTCAAAGTATTATTTTTGTAATTATTCAACAATTTACGTCTCCTGGCTCGTCAAATGACTGCCGATGACAAAATGAATGTATACTCTTCCGTGTGCCATGAAACACAAGTGCAAGACTTAGCAACTCACAAAGCGCTACAAAGGCAGACCGTTTGACACCACCCATTCAGCACACGTCCTAGCGAATTTGGTGCGCCCGCCATGTGAAGATGCCGAGACCTCTGGTCGGTTGAGCATGGCAAGCCCCACCAGCACCATCTCACCCCATGCTAGCCCCATGTGCCTGCCGGTGAGTTGTGTATATTGTAAATAAAAATAATAATAAAAAAGCTCAATCACCACAACATGCGTTTAGGAAGAGTTGCAAAAAAATATCTCCAGCATCTGTTGGAGATATTTAGAAATATTGATAATTATATGAAACAAATGTATGATTTTATGTTTTGACCACTATAGTTTTCCACATTCCATTCATTTTATTGGGTCATGAGGAACGAGTAGCATTCCGCATTTGAAATTAATTGTCTGCCCCGTTACTGATTTCCCAGAATCAACTGGAGAGGTAACATATCATCGTGAGAGGCAACATCACGAGGCGCAGACAAACACGACACCATGTACAACACTAGCTGCACCACGCCAGGCATCCTAGAATCCCTTGAACGGACAGGTACAACACAACCAATCCTTCAGATATTGTATCTCAGCAGGGGTTATGTTTCACATTTTTCATGTAAAGCACAGGACCTGAATTATTTGGGCTAACAAAAACCTAACAAATAGTTTCATGTGACTTGGTCATTACATGTAGTGCAACAAAAACAATAACAGCAAAAACTCCAGTCGCTATAAACTACATGATCATGGTCATGACAGAAGAATGCTCAACATTTTTTCTCACCGGTGCGCAAAGACGGACGCTTCTGTACACCGCCTGCTCGCCACCCATAGCGATCGCATTCTGAACGATCTTGCAAAGGACAAGGGACACACGAAGGAACTCATCGTTCCCGAGATGCTGGCCCATTTCTCTCACAATGTCTTTCAAATCGGTCTCCGACTCGCGCGACGCCACCCGAGCAGCGGGGCCTGATGGCCCGTCGGAAGTCGCCATCGGAGACCTCCGCTATCGAGCGACCAGTGTCGCTGAAACGTCGTGTCTATTCCAAATGGCTCACTATTCCATCAGAGTAGCTGTGGGGCAAGCGACCATTACCTTTCCCCGTTGCCGATGATAACTATTCGTTTGGAGACAACTATAAAAATTAATTTGGAGCTCTGGCCAGTCCACGAAAGGTCTATAAAAAACTCAGTTCACTATCGGACGCTATCCTAAATCCGCTTCCTTCTCCTTTCCTCACACACGACACAGCAAGCGCACTGGCTCTGTACACGATGGTACACCAGGGACAGGGCGACACCAGGCTAGGCATTCGCCACTAAACCAGTGTCAGTCACAAAATCAATCACTACAACACTCGGAGTCAACAGGTACATGATTGTACATGTACAAGGCACGTATCAGTGGCCTGGGACACTGCTATCACACATGTGACTTGTGAGGGATGACACTGATACGATGTAGTCGTTGTGTAGACTGCTGGCCGCTGAGTGAGTGCTAGGACAGCGCCCTCGAATCGATCAACACAGGATCACTGTACTGTTATCATGGTTAATAATGCCCTGGCCTAGGCTCTGCGTCATGCGTGCCTTCCGCACACCGCACAGTGCAAACAAGGTCACTGTACTTTCACATCACGTGAATACTTCTCTCCGTCGCAGGCGCTAGGCAAAATTTTCATTCATCACCCGAAACGGCGAAAGACTAGTACTAGTATAAAGTACGACAAGCACAATCATGTAGCGCGACATCTGACACACCAAAGACGTCAAAATAATCTAATTTGACGTCGACTCCTACAAACACAACAAAATAAACTCCTACATGTACTGTGTTTTGGACCGGTGCAGTGTGCATTGGGTCGAGGCGAATTCTACCCCGATGACATCGTGCAGCCCTGAAAAGTACGGATCAAGTATGCCTGGCTAGACAAAGCTATTAAACACGGCTTGAAGAGAAGGACAGAGCGGCAGAGAAGAAACAACTATCCAAACTTGTGGCGTGTGCTTTGGAAAGTTTGGAGAACAATTGCAGTTATTATAATGTTAGCGGACGATCCAGGCCAACACAACGTTCCACGTATGTTCGCTTTGCCCTTTCCAAACAAGGCTGGACAGAAACACTCCGGTAGTTTGGACCAGAATCTCTTGAAGTAGTTACTTGTCGGTTTTGTGAATTCTTGACCTTTGCCGGCTTTGGAGAAAGAAAATCACCACGTCGTTGAATTCAACGAGTATGCTGATCGCGTTCAGTACCAGTATGACAGTGGACCTGGATGATGATGAGACTGTATGGAGTCTGGAGATAACTATGTTACTTTAGTAGATACTATAGTCAGTCTGAGCTGTGCAATCACCATGGTTACAGAGAGTGAGGAAACTGGACAGTCCATGATGGCGTGTGCGCTGGAATGAATTATTTCCAAAAACTGGCACAGCCATGCCTGCCGCCTTACCATGTACCAGTGCAGTAACGCTGACCATGTAACTTGTTATGTTCCCCAGCATTGCCTGTTGTGGATGGCTATGGTGATGACGTCACGTCGTGTGTGACCTACATGTGCGTGTATCAACATTATCATGGTTATCAGGTTATTGTCTACTACAGTGACTGAACCTGGGCATGTGCACGATAATAAATCGAACGGCGAAACTAATAATATGACGACCATTTTAGGTGAAGAAAGGCAAACCTCCAACGCCTTCCAATGACAATGTGACGCGTGGCCTGCACAATATGATATGGCGGGAACAATTGTAGACTTAAAAAACCCTCAGCAGGTAACGCATGTCGGTGGATGAAAGATTGATCTGGCAATGGCCTGACTCACCAGACTGGTTCCGTCGGGCCCGGTTTTCGAAGTCTGTTTCTCCTCTCCTGTGGACGGAACTCCACGGTGCAGCTCTCAGCGGCGTCACACACGGTACAACCCGGCAGTACGACCATGGCGTACCACTTTTTGTCCAGTACGGTTCGCCCAGAGCACCTGTTGAGCGCTATAACGTGCCCTGTTCACTGAAAAATCTGACCCCCCCCCCCCCCCAGACCCGGGTCGTATCACTCCTCAACGCGCTACGATACGCTGTCGCATATAGCAATAGCATATTTTGCACTTTGGGCCTTACGCTCCTATGTCGGCTGTACCATGTACCATCCTCGGGCTGTAAAAGAAGCGGTTGTGGTTTCTTACTTCAATATCAAATCCTCGGTTCTTCTCAGTTTAGCTACCAGTTACGGCAGTAGCTAAGGCTATTGCAGTGCCTTCACTATGAGAGAATCTTGTCTCCAGACCCCCTACAGAAGAGTGCAGAGCTGTATTAAGATGGCTCAGCCGTGAAAATGAATACGTTAACATTGCTGTGCCCGTCAGTTGCAGCCCTGGCTACCTGCGCTTGCTCCAACCGTTGCTCCTGCTCAGCCACCAAGACTGCAAGAGCTGCACACAAGGTCAACCTGGGAAAGAGGCGGCAACAGCCACCGGTCCGGAAGACCACTTGCGACCTCTCTGCTCATCCAGTTCTACCAGGTCGCTGTGGTCAACAGATCCAGGATTGCGGCTCGATTCACTCACAGTTTATTGGTCTCTCACTGGACCATTGAAGGCAATGCCCAACTTAGGTGTACTTTCACCTTCTCTCGGCCACAACCGTCGGCAGCCATAGATATTGTGATTTCTGTACCTGATCGATGTTTGGCAGAAGGAGGCTGAGCCGCCGTTGATCCTTGTCTACCTAATCTGTCTCTGCCACCAGCTCCCACTCCAACCAAACGCTCCGCTGTGGCACACTGTGTACGCCCGGTTACCAAGCTACAAGAGTCCTTCTGCAACTCACACATCATCATGTGCTCGTTCTTTTGGAGTAACCCAACAAAATTCTCAATCTCAACCGTTATCTGAGTCAACATCATAATTATCATCGAACATGTTGCCTACTGTCACTGGTCACTGAGCAGAAACAAGAAGACGTGTTCACATCATACACATGCCATGGTTCACACACTGACACGCGCGCTTCACACACTAGTGTTAGTCGGCTGCGGCCCAAATCTGAAAGACGTTGTTTTGCAAGTCCCGTTTCAGTCTCAAGCAGACAACCTGAGCTTTGCATGGGTGGAAAGACCATGTCCTATACTAGGGATGTCGAAACGGCTTGTTGTCATGTCCAGAACTAGGGCATAAGCTGGGGAGAACCAATTTTAGGTTTCGTTACGAAAGTCGTTATTAATTTTTACGTTATTTTACGACTCCTTGGCAGCATGTGATACGATATTAATAATTTTTATTGAAAATTAGTGCAGTCGATGTGAATTTGTTCTTGTGTTTGGATGATTTGTAGATCATGGTTGCCCTTTGCTGAGCGTTCATTTCCTATTGATGGTGATTAGAGATGGCACAGATTGATTTGTTGTAAACTTTGACCAAAATCACCCCCAAACATGGATCTTTCGTATGAGAGGATTTCATTTATTGGGACACTATCTCGACAACACCAGCGGAAGAGAGCTAGCACGAGCGAAGCAAAGGACACCGGAAAACGGCAGAGTGATAGCGATCATAAGCTGATCTTAGCAAACGAGCGATATGGAAGATGTAAATAATAGCGCAGTAGTGTATTTGTCATTTGCTGCAGAGTTGAAAAGTACAATTCAAATTCAAAATCAATTCAAAAACTTCAATAGTGCGGCCCACCAGCCTTAGCTTTCAGACTCACTGTCCGATTCACAGTCAGACTTACAGTCCAATCCACTGCCGAAACTGCCTTCACCCTCATCATGGCATTGTGTGCATGCGCGCGCGCCCACACACACACGTACACACACCGCACAACACATGGCATTGTGCGCGCGCACTCGCACACACACACATACACAACCCCCACACGCACGCACACACCGCACAACACATGGCATTGTGTGTGCGCGTCCGCGCCCGCACACACTCACACACCACATAGCATGCTAGAGATCAACAAGAACCTGCTGCGACCGTGGTTGAGATGGCGCTGTAGAAGACACCGCAGCCGCCACTGGTTGCCTGGCACCCGAGGTTGTAGTCAAAGCCGTACTAGCGACACATCTGTACTGGAGGCTGATGTAGTACCCAGAGATGAAACTGATCCACTGGTGTTCACCTGACGCGGCGGAGTAGCGGATCCTTTGAAGCCGAAATGAGTGGGCAACACGACATTGGCGGGGACAAGCCCAGCGGATATCGCAGCGGGCCCATCGTAGCTCCTGGCAGTGAGCCTATCGTAACTCCTGGCATTGGGCCCGTTCTCTTGCCGGACACTGGGGTGAGGAGTGGACGTGGATGCGGGCAGGAAATCTGCGGCGACCGGCTGGACTGGGATGGTTGGAGTCGGGCCAGGTGCGTTACTAGTATGACTGTTCGGCAATGACTGGGTATTACCGGCCATCGGACCGTTTGCAGACGACACAGACAAGTGGTTGCTCCGTGAAGAGTGCGCCTGTATACCCATGCCACTTACCATACATGTCAATTGCTGAAGGAAACACACAGTTCAAACACAAAACGCAAATGAAACACGCCAATGAAATTCGATCCTTAAAAAAAAAAAAAGGGAAGCATGTCCGCGTTATCACGGGCTATACAATAGTGTTTAGAAAACAACCAGTTTATAATTCTGTCTCTTCTTGCATAAAGTCAGCCTAGAATACTGACGTCAGCTTTGGACATTACTCTGACTCGGACCACAAGCTCTGATTTATTCTGACCTACATGTGTACCGTGTGAAGTAGCGCGAGAGCCAAGCTGGTCGTAATAATACGTGTAACAGCCACGAACGTAGTTCAACCAAAGAAGACTACCACATTACATGAGCATGAACACTTGCATTCCATTTAATACATTCCTATGTTGTAGACGTCAGGCACTGTAGTGTTCACGTCTACATACACATTGTGGCATTCCTTGGCCACCCAGACATTCATGATAGTAGCGCATCGTGTTATGTTATGCATGCAGCATGTGCCGTTTCCCGAGCGTGCGTGTGAAATGAACTTAGCGGCTTTTAGTTGCTGTGCATGAGTTGAGTCTGGACTCATGATCTGGTGTGTACATGCGATCATGTGATCTTGTAGTTGAGCGTATGTGTTACCGTATTTTACCGGTTGTAAGTCGACCCCGGTTATAAGTCGACCCCCGTATCTGGAGGTCTCAATTCTGCGTTTTAAAGTTTTCACCCAACGAAGCATTACTAACCACTCCCTGCTACTAACACATCAACAAATCAGGTAATCATTCCTTATTGGAGGGCATACCGTCCCAATCCTTGAAAAATTGCAATAAACTGGCAAAAATGTGTACACATGGTGCACTCGTGCATGCAGTGCAGGTCATTTTTTGTAAGATACTGATCGTTCCCGGTTATAAGTCGAATCCCG